CACTCCTAATTTATCATTCCTCCCTGACATCACCCATGTGTCGTTTTACGTGTTACATGTAAATTGGGGTATGCAGGCACTGGATAGCAGTTGCGATGGATATTAGTATATTGGTATCTTTCCGTTGCCTGTAGGCTATCATCAGGAGGTGGATTATGTGGAGCCATAAATATTAAAGGTGAGGAGTTAAGGCTTGTGATTCGACAGCTGCATTAGAGACAAATTTGTCTCCGTAGCACACCTCTGCCATGCCAGGTCGGCCCGGGAGGTGGGGCTCAGGGCCGCCCCAGGAGGGGAAAGTGGTGTTGGGGGAAGGGGGGTGAGAGAGAGGCAGAAGAGGGGAAGAAAAAAAAAGATAAAGATAAAGATTTAAATTGCTTTCCCCAGTCCTGGGTCTGGCAACCTCTGCCAGGATATGAGTGGCTATTCACCAGGGAGAGGGCAAACAGAAGGGGGATAGAAGTTAGCCCTGTCTCGTGCCGTTCCGGATGTTGAAAGGTTGCAAAAGGGCACCATTTACCCAAAGTCAGGCAGTGGGTGTCGTGTAGAGGGTGGCGATCCAGGTCAGCATGTTCAGTGCGAAACACAATCGCGTGAAGCATTGCCGACATGAATTGCCAGTCGAACTCCTTTTCGGCGTCTGAGAGGAGGAGGGTTCTTCTAATGGTCCGTGCCACGTGGATCACGTTGAGGACCCTGATGGTGTTATCACTCGCCTCTCTGCCTGGGAAAAAGCCCACTTGTTCTGGGTGTATCAGGTGTGGCAGTAGTCTTCCCACTCGAAGGGCAAGGAATTTTGTGTACAACTTCAAATCTGCATTAAGGAGGGCAGTTGGGTCTTTCCCATCCTTTGGGAATAGGGAGGTGGTCACCGTCAGGGTGTCCGTCGGCTGTTGTCCGCCGTCCAGGAGGAGGTTGAGGCTTCTCAATAGGTGTGGCAGCAGATGGTCCTGCAACTTTTTGTAGTACTTAGCGGGGAGGCCATCCAGAGCCTTGTGTGCCTTAAAGGCCTTTAATGCTTATTGGAGCTTGCCAAGGTTGATAGGGGCCTCTAGTTTGTCCCTCATTTCTCCGGTTAAGGTATGGCTCACATGTTGCTCTAGATATGCGGTTATTCTAGTCGCGTGCCTCGCTCGGGCTGCCACATCAGAGCATGTCTCTATATTATAGAGGTCAGTGTAGTAGCGGTGGAATGCACCCACGATTCTGTCAGGCAGTTGCGTGATACAGTCCCCCTTTTCACAAATTTTGGTGATGTGGGAGAGTCGCCTCTTCCGCTGTAGCCTCCCACATTTGTCCGAGTGTTCGGAAAAATATCTGCGGGACCTGCAAATGGTGTGGAGGAGGTCCTAGGAGAGCAGTTGCCTTGGGGATCGCCGCGACTCTAGGAGAGCCTTGTCTCAGTCATTGAGGTGGGCCACCCTCCAGGCACAGGTATCGGCTATGCCGGAGTTCCTAAGAGCTGTGAGAGCTTTGTGTCGGTAGGTGGCTGGTAGTGAGCAGGAGCCTCTAGATGTATCCAAGCGTGGGTTCAGTGCTATATTTAGGTCACCTGCTGCGATAAGTATGCCTTCTGAAACTTTCCAGGGCTTTCAAGGTGCGTGCCAGTGTAGACGACTGGCAATAGTGCCTTTCAGAAACAACTGCCCCCTGGATCAGACAGGTACTGGAAAGGGGATCGTGTTGGCAATTGGGACAGCCACCCCTGTTTTCTTGGTGTTTATGATTCTCAAAAAATGGGGGGAGGGGGGAGTTTGCTCGCATGCCAGGTAGTACCTTGCCTGGCCTGTAGGTTAAAGGGGAAACCCCATTTGTAGGGTATTTGCTCTTAAGCGGGAAGGCATGGAGGCAGCAGATCACGTCCTGTGGCCTACAATCTGGCCTGGCTTGCCCTAGGGGATCACATCCTGTGGCCTACTGTCTGGCCTGGCTTGCCCTATTGCCTGGTGGGTCCTGTCCAGGCGTATGTCGTGTGGTGCTTCCTGACGCAACAGCGAGATGGGGGTGGTGGACAGAGGCTCGGAGTCTGGTTCAGGGAATCCCCTGACCCGAATATTTTGCCTTCTGCTCCTGTGATCTAGGTTCTCGACCTGCTGCCTGAGGGACAGTAACATGTTCCCCTGCCTAGTGTGCGACTTTCTTCATGGACAGCTAGGCCACGCCCCAAGTTAATTACTTTTTCACTCGACGGGGGGGGGGGGGCTAAATATTTATACTAGCTCTGTAGTGTTAGGATGTTGGTATAGTGTTCCTTTAGTATATCAGAAACTTGAATCGGCAACCACAATATATTAATGGGAGTTGCATAAAGCAAATTGAACCGGAATGCAGGCAGTTGCATATTTTCTTTTTATATTGTCATTTGGAATCCTAATGAGATTGCTACTCCGTGTATGCAAACCAAATTAATTACTAGTATGTAATGTATGCTTTGTCTCATAGCCCCCTATTTACTCTCCACCAAAAGAACATTCAAGAAACTCCACAAACTTAAACTTTCTATAACTTTTTTTTTTTTTTTTTTTACTTTACAGCATTTTAATGAAGCAAGACATGTTGTTGTGGATCGCCAGGCACGAGATGGAGTTCCAAGAAAAGACTGGCACGGTCCAAGTTCTCGTGGGAGTGGATATGATAGACGATTACCAGAAGGCCGCAGTGGAGGCATGATGGCTTCACATTCCAGGTATTGACCTGTATGAGTGTAATTCATCTAAACAATTTATTTTTTTATTTTTTTTGCAAGACATGCAGTTCAGCATACTATTTTGACTTTGAATGATACAAATTAGTGAGACTCTAGGCACTGTAGTACCACTCATCAAAACATTAGGCACCTTTCAGCACTCCTCAAACTTGGCTAACGTGCTATGGGTGTGTTGGCTCTGCCGATTGATGGAGATGGTACCTAAGGATAATTTGTGCCATAGACACTACTGTAAAGTTGGTGTGGTTATGATTTGAAAGTTTCTTTTAAGTACCAACAATGTCCTCTTGTAAACAATTGAAAAACTTGGAGGTGAGTTTTTGTATATATTGTTGTTGTTTTTTTCCCCCTATAAATGCTCATGTTTTTGTATTTTAATTGATAAACTCTACCGTACTTGCATTAATTCAGAACAGACTGAAATTTTTTTTTTTTTTGCCCATGTCCTGTGGTATGTACATAGTTTAATAAACCTTCCTTTTCTCTTTCCAGCAATGCACCAATCAGAGTTGTGCAGATTCCTGGGGGATCCATGCAGAGAGGCGGTGGCTCAGGATTCAAGTCATTTAAGGGAGCACCTCCAAGAAGATTTTGAGTCTTCTACTTGTTAATGAGAATTTATTAATTTCTTGTAAACTGTACTAAATCCACCAGGACTTTTCCCTTTCTTTTTTTTTTCATTGACTGCCATGGTCAGTGCATATAGACTTTTTTTTTTTAAAGCCATTTTAATTGTATGTTCTACAGTAGAAGGATTTTAATGGTCGAATTGAGTTATCCCAACTTCTTGACTCTTGCTCTGCTGGAGATCTTGGCACCAAAACACTTGGATCAATTTGGCCTAAAATAAGCTGTTTTGCAGTTTAATGTTGTTGGCCATTCTGAAAGTTGAAATAATGTTAAATAGAAATTAGACACCACAACTTGTGTTTTTTTCAAGTTCTAGAATAGTCTTTTAACTCCTTTTGCAGTTTAAATAATGTGAATTGCCTTCAATTCTGTAGATTCCTGCATATTTCTCTCCCCCTGTTTCTGGTGGGTAATGTTACAATGTGCTCCTGTATTTGTGAATCCTGGCCAATTTTGTTTTCTTATTGATGTCCTGTATAATTTTTAGGTGGTTTAAGTAAATAAAAAAGTTTCACTTTTACATTTATTTTCAGAGTGCAGTTATTTGTTTTGTTGGGTGTTGAATATAGTGACAGAAAATAGACATTTTGGTACCTCCCACTCCTTTGTGAAAGGTGTCGAAACATTTCCATTTTCTGTACTCCTGAATAAAAGACTGCCTCTTTAAACAAACCCCAGGTGTGCCCTGGCATTTGTAACTAAAACTACTGGATGTATTTGGGAACTGGTCTTCCTTACTTGGAGGCACATGGATGGAAGTATTCCTCAATTAAGTGTGCACATTTTCTTAATCTGAAAAGTACTAGCAAGAGGAGAGTGACCTGGGCAAACAACCTAAAGCAACTAACCACCCCTGGAAGTATCAAACACATATCCAGAAACACCGGTATCTGTATTCAAATCACATCCTCAAAGACAAGACTGCCTAACGGCTCGTGAACAGTACAGGGGACAGAGGTAGGATGAGCTGGCAAATGGTTTTAAGAAAGACAAGAGTTGTGATTTTAAATTGGCCATTATAGCGGTGAGTGGTATGGTGAAGAGCCGGGCATTTGGCCCCACCTTGCTGGTTAGTGCATACTTGGAACACATGCATTTTTAATGACCAATGTGTGCACAATTGGCTGGAATAGGTGGGTATAACTAACTTGCACTTTCAGTAGAGAGCCTGCACCTAATATGAACTTTCTCAAATTTGAGAAACCTGTAGAAGTGGAAGGTGCAGGATTAAAGGACCACTCTAGGCACCCAGACCACTTCAGCTTAATGAAGTGGTCTGGGTGCTAGGTCCAGCTAGGGTTAACCCATTTTTTCATAAACATAGTTTCAGAGAAACTGCTATGTTTATGAATGGGTTAAGCCTTCCCCCTAATCCTCTAGTGGCTGTCTCATTGACAGCCACTAGAGGCGCTTGCGTGCTTCTCACTGTGATTTTCACAGTGAGAGCACGCAAGCGTCCATAGGAAAGCATTATGAATGCTTTCCTATGTGGCCGGCTGGCTGCGCGTGCGCATTCAGCCCAGGAGGAGGAAAGCTCTCCGCCCAGCACTGGAAAAAGGTAAGATTTAACTCCTTTCCAGAGCCGGGCGGGAGGGGGTCCCTGAGGGTGGGGGCACCCTCAGGGCACTATAGTGCCAGGAAAACGAGTTTTCCTGGCACTATAGTGGTCCTTTAACACACGAACATGCATAAACCTGTGAATCTAACGCAGTGGTTTAACTGGTACCAGACTGCAGTGAAACTGGAGGATGATTTTACTTGCCTTGCTCATTCATGATGGTAAACTCAGATTACATAAGGGAGACCAGTATCTTGGATTTATTATTTTGCCTGGGAGGTCACTAGTCTAGGTTTCGATCACTCCTGATCTTGCTGGGAACAGGCATTTACTTGAAAGTAAAACATGGAGTTCATTATTAAAATTTCCTGTGGGAGCAGCAGGGGACTTGTTGTTCCTTCCCCTAACTCAGGGGTTCTCAACCCCAGTCATCAAGGACCCCTGATCTGTCCAGGGTTTTTAGGGGGGAACAAACATTTTAGACACAACAGGGTAATTCCTGAATCCTGGACTGGTAGCTTGAGGAGTGTTGAGAAACCCTGCCCTAACTGGAGTTACAATATGAAAATAAAGGTACTAGTTAATATGAATCTCAGGTGTTTCATCAAATCCCTTTTTTTTTCTAAATCCAAATGATCTTGAGACTCCAAGTAAATACTAGACTGATTTTATTTGGGGCATAGTTTAAAAAGAAATTGATGTTCATACTGGCGCAAAAGACTTTGTGCACAAGTCTTGAAGATGGTGATATGCTAAAATCTAAGTCAGAAAAGGGACTGTATGTTCTAGCTGCCAAGGTTCATGTTTAACTGAATGCACAGTGAGAAGTATCAGATATACAGATTGTTATGAATATATATATACAGACTGAACCAAAGGAGGGTTTGTGTGCACTTCCTGGAACCTAGGTTTATTTTTGAACTGATCCATTTAAGTTTTTTTTCAACATCTTATTGAAATATGTAACAATATACAAAAAGGCATGAAAGCAACAAATGACTCAAAGAAATAATTGCTGAACTTGCTTATACAGCTGTTCAAACCGGTTTGACCCAAAACTAAAGGATAGTGTACAGTCTAACAGCAACATGTATGTGGTCTTTTATGGAGCTTATCGTGCCCCCTATAACCAGAACATAATGCATTGTTCACTGCCTATATCACACTTTGCCCTACTTTGTCACTCTAGTTCAACACAGGGAACAAATGTTTTATCCCAGTATGGTATCACAGCATCTTTTAAGCAGGCTAAAACCATTTTAGTATAAAAACCAATGTAGGGACGCTAAGGAACTATTACTTAAAAAGCCAACATTAATTGCAGCCTGAATTCAGGTGCCAAAGCTAGGGGGGGCTGGTGAAAACTTAAGGATGAGCTATGAGTAGTTATAATTCAAGACTTGATCAAACCATTCAGTTAATCTCACCACTTGATGGGACATGCACACCACCAATCAGAGTAGTGCAAGATGTAACAGTCATTTATTGAGTTAGTCTTTCTTCTGAAAGAAAAAAAACTCCCCTTGGTCTTCTTTCTTCAACATGTAGCACATTATATACAAAACCAGACAAAAAAAAAAGTCATTCTGGTCCATTAGGTTAAAAAAATGTTTGTCACAAAAAATTTTAACCTGATATTTTGGGTACAGCGCCCGTATGACACAGTGAATGTTCTGGAGTAAATATTAGCTTGGTTCACTCTAAACAGCTAATTACTATAACCACCACAAGAATAAAGTTGGGCTGATCTGTTACTTCAAATGCCATAAAATCTTGCAGGTAAGAGTAATTTTAGGCAGGTGTGCTAAATGTAAAGCGCACACAGCAGCTGCAGCAAATCCAGAAGATTACTGAGCCCAGAACTATTTGCATCCCCCATCCCACCAACCCTTGAGTCATACCGAAGGCCTTCTTGGGGCGAAACACTGTGTGGTTTTTCTTGATGGTTTCAGAGTAAAATATGAAGTAATTGATTCAGGTTAAATCTTGAAAACTGCACTATGAATGACAGCTGGAATACATAGATTGTTAGCTTATAACATTAACAATATGATGCATGAACCAAGGGGTTTGAAATTACAGAAGGTTAGAGTGTGGTGGGTGAATCTGAAGCAAGTCTGTTTGTAGCAAATTCCCCCTTTCCAAACGGAAACCGAGCAGGGGTTTCTTCAGGCACAGATGGCATATTAACAGATGTCTCCTTTTCCTTGTCTATGCCTTCGTGTTTCCTGCAATATCAAACTTATTGACCTTGCCAAGTCTATAAAAGGACACAAGTATTCTTTTCCTTCTCCTTTTCTCTCGGCTCTTTCCGTTTCCTTTCACTGCTCCCTGGGGGCCGGCCACTGGATGGACTCTGAGCTGCAGGAGACAGCTGGCCTGGCTTTAAAGAATAAATGAATAAAGCGGATTAACATTCAGAGTCAATTGTAGATATACCCAATAATCATTTACCAGCTTTTATTAGACAGCAGAAGATATTTTCCAGTAAAGTTAAATTAATTCACATCTGCCAGCTAGCAAGCCATCATACATGTCTGCTTTCAGGCAAACTGAGTGAGTAGCTGAGTAAATGCTTGTCGCAACAAAACTAGCCCCTACTTTGTGTTGGAATTTTATGGAGATTTCAACCCAGAAACAGTCAAAATGAGTATTTCATAAAAGAGTTTATCTTTAACAAATATTTGTTTTTCAGTGGGAAAGGGACACGGACACTTTAAGTAGAATTCAGACTACAAATTGAATGTGAGGTTTTCTGTACTGCATGTGATCCTGGGTCTCAATTTGTGTTTTACAAATATTTTGGCACTTTCACTAAATTTTGGGCAAAAATATCATGAATGTGGTATATCATTTGGATTATTGCAGGCTGAAGATATATACCTGCTCGGGTGCAGCAGACGGTACTTGGTCTTGTTCCTGATAATATTGTGATGCTCGACGATCTTCCTCTTCCTGAAGTTTTTTGGCCAACTCCAAGTCACTAATACCTTCTGGGATCTGTTCCCAGTCAATATCTTGATTCTGCTGTTCTTGCTGAAGTGACAAAGCAATCAGATAATCCTAGAAATAAACAAATATATGAAATAAAACCCATCTGCAAAATAAACCACCAACAGTTTGAATGATTACTAATCTACCAAAGAAAAAAAAATAAGCCTGCGATACTTTCAGAACCAGAGGAATGCATACAACCGCCAATCAAAATTCTAGTTTGTGACTGAACATAACGTAGAAGGAGACAGACAGGTAGCCTGAACAACTTAGGGCAAAGCATCTTTCATGCATTCACCACCAGACTCCTAGAACCTAGCTTACCTGTGTTATTATATTGTAATACATTGTAAGGGTGGTTATATAATTAGTTGCTCTACATGTAATATTAGAGCCATGAAGGGATCAGGGACAATACATTTTATCTCATTGAATTGGCTATAGTGCATGAAGTCCCCTGTCACTGTCCTTCCATTTTTAATCAGTATATCACTGAATGACTGTCCCTGGCTTTCCACATCTCATCCCCACTGTAGTTGTGGCTAAGACACAGGTTACATACTTCCTTTTAGCCATACAAATTCACACCAGCAATGCGCACTGTGACAGGCTGAAATCGATCAGCTGATATTCAGAGCCAATCATAGCTACCCATTACCGCTAGGGCTAATGCTTCCTCAACAGCCTAAGCTGCACACATGAGATGGGCTTCTGGGAAGCCTAAGTTAGCATTCAAACATTAAGAACAATTTAACACTAAATGGAAGGGGAGAGGGAGGGAGGGGACCAGCGGCGGGAGCCAGAAATAGTAAAAAGGAGAAAGGAAGGGGGCGTCTGCAGCGGGAGCCAGAGATAAGGGAGGCAGGGCCGGATTAACATAGGGGCTGATGGAGCTGCAGCTCCAGGCCCAGGCCAATGGAATAGGCCCATTTAAAAAAAAAAAAAAAAATTTCCCTCACTACTCTTAGGTTTGCCACTTGAGTAGTATTTTAAGGCACAGACGATATTTGAGGCTGCCTGGCCATGATGGTGTACGCAGGGGAGCAGCTACACAGCACAGAGAGTTCAGACGGCAGCTCCCAGCCTGCAGAGACAGACTACAACTCAGGGAAGCGAGGGATGAGGGGAAAGGCAGCATGGAGACATGGGGACACTGAGAGATGTGGGTACACTGAGACACATGGGGACACTGTGAGACATGGGGACACATGGGGATGCTGTGAGACATAGGTAGACACTCAGTGTCCCCATGTTTCCCAGCCAGTGTCCCTAGTGTCCCCAAATGTCTGTGTCCCCATGTATTGCAGTGTCCACATGTCTCCCAGGCAGTGTCTCAGTGTCCCCATGTCCCCCAGTGTCCCTATGTCTCTTAGCCAGTGTCCCTAGTGTCTCAGTGTCCCCATGTCTCCCAGTGTCTGTGTCCCCATGTCTCTGTGTCCCTAGTGTCCCCATGTCTCACAGTGTCCCCATGTCTCCCAATGTCCCCATGTTTATGTCCACAAGTGCTCCATGTCTCAGTGTCCCCAAGTGTCTGTGTCACCATGCCTCCCAGCCAGTGTCCCTAGTGTCTCAGTATCCCCATGTCTCCTAGTGTCCCCATGTCTCACAGTGTTTGTGTTCCAATGTCTCTCAGTGTCCCTAGTGTCTTAGTTTGCCCAAATATCTGTATCCCCATGTCTGTGTCCCTAGTGTCTGTGACCCCATTTCTCCCAGTGTCCCCAAATGTCTTAGTGTCCCCATGTCTCCCAGTATCCCCATGGCTCCCAGTGTCCCCTAATCTTCCAGTGTCTATGTCACCATGTCTCTCAGTGTCCCCATGTATTGCAGTTTCCACATGTCTCCCAGGCAGTGTCTCAGTGTCCCCATGTCCCCCAGTGTCCCTAAGTCTCCCAGCCAGTGTCCCTAGTGTCTCAGTGTCCCCATGTCTCCCAGTGTCTGTGTTCCCATGTCTCACAGTGTCCCCATATCTCCCAATGTCCCCATGTCTATGTCCACAAGTGCCCCATGTCTCATAGTGTCCCCAAGTGTCTGTGTCCCCATGCCTCCCAGCCAGTGTCCCTAGTGTCTCAGTGTCCCCATGTCTCACAGTGTCTGTGTTCCAATGTCTCTCAGTGTCCCTAGTGTCTTAGTTTGCCAAAATATCTGTATCCCCATGTCTCTGTGTCCCTAGTGTCTGTGACCCCATTTCTCCCAGTGTCCCCAAATGTCTTAGTGTCCCCATGTCTCCCAGTGTCTCCATGTCTCTCAGTGTCCCCATGTCTGTATCTGTAAGTGCCCCCATGTCTCCCAATGACCCCAAGTGTCTCAGTGTCCCCATGTCTCACTGTGTCCCCTAGTATCCTCGTGACACGGGACACACTGAGACATGGGGACACTGGGAGAAATGGGAACACAGACACTGGGAGATTAGGGGATTGGGCGATATGGGGGCACTGACACTGTGATACATAGGGACACTGATGCCAGGCTGGCCTTCCAATTCTTTGGACAGACATACCCCATTTTTGGGCATGTTTGCCCTTTTGGAAGTTCTAGTCACATGATTCGCATCAATGGCCTACTCTTTTACCCCTCCCATTGGCTCCCTGCTTCACTGGACACTGCTGTTAGGGGGTATGGATTTACTTGAAGGATTAAACCATAAATTAGATAAAGAGATTAACATAGAGTATGTGTTTTCTTATAGCTGCATCCTTTGAGTTTCCCTCCAACACCAACTCCATCAGATACATGACGCTTGAGAGGTATGACTGTTTTAGTGTTTTTGGTTGATAAGATTCTTTAATTAGGCACATCATAATTGTAAGCACCGGGTCCACTGGGCTCTTAATCTGGCCCTGAAGGGAGGAGGTGCCTGTGGCGGGAGCCAGAGACTGGGAAAGGGAGAGGCCTCCTGTGGTGGCAACCAGAGACAGGGGTAGAAAAGAAATGAGGGGGCTTGCAGGGAAAGCAAGAGAAAAAGGAAGGGGGGCATGCAAAGACAGATATACAAATGCATTCACTCTCTACCTGTCCTTCCAGAACAACTCTTGGCTTTCATAAATTATTTTAAAGCTCCAATTTCCTTCTCTAGCCCTCATTAATTTACTTTGTTTGATTCTCCCCTTCCTTCTGTGATGCCTAATCAGAATGTTCACAAGTAGCTGCCTCCTCTTATTCCCTTGGGTCAGATTAGCAGTGGAAGTGACCAAAGAGCTATTAAATACTATGGCTGTTACAAATCTAAGGGGGTTTGATAACACGGCCTTTGTGCAGCTTGAATGAAAAGATAAAATTGAAAATTACATGTTTATAGATGCTGGCAGATCAGTGCAAAGCTGCACATTTGGAAAATAAAAAAACAAAACACGTAATTATAGGAGGCCGGAGCCATCAGAAGTTGTCACAGAGCTGATAAATAATGTATAACGATTTCATAAGCTTTGCCGTAAGACATGGCAATACTGTGACAACAATACTCAATCACCACAAACATCAGTAGGATCTAATGCTAATGGAAAAAAAAAATCTAATGGAATTTTCTACTTGATTGTTGGAAGAAAAACATAATGAGCCCTGTTGGGATGTTAAAGCAGTTTGATTAAATAAAAAGTCTTCTATGCAGATTAAACTCCCATTGAGAGCCCCGTAGAAACATTTCATATTTATTATTATTTGCTTTTAACCCTCTTGCTATCTATTTCAGTATGTCGCGGAAGGGAGAAAGAGAAGCCTTTAAAGAGCACTTTTCATTTACTGTTCCATTTCATAAGTTTGCTAGTCAGTACAAATGCTGCTAAGTTGAGGAGCAAAATTTCTCTTGGAACAAGCCCAGACCACTTCAAAATATAGCACTAAAAGGACCAGCTTTTCAAACGAATGCTATGGACATGAGCAGTGGTGATAGATAATGTGCTACGCAGATTTTCAAATGGTTTCAGATGAGCTTGTGAGTCAAAGCACAACAGGATCAACTCCAACACCACAGGACCATTCAACACATTTGCCTACTGAGTTTTACATAAGATAGGATAAACTAATTGTCCAAATATGGTCTTGTCACATCAACAGGTTAAGTTTTCTGATTTATACATTACTGTGCAAAGGTTTTAGGCGGGTGTGAAAAAATGCTTTCAAAAACAGAATTAACAAAATGCAAAGTGAGTGAGCAAAAGGAAAATTTAAGTCAAACCAATATTTGGTGTGAACACTCTGCCTTCAAAACAGCATCAATTCACTGATGATAGGTAACGTGAAATACTACCATGTGTTTTATAGTCAGTCAGGAGTCTTTGTATTACTTAATTCAAAAATCGGTGGGACGCCGCGGTAACCAGACTCTCATGTTCAACAAGCATATGTTAGCTACGATGTTTTAGATGGTTATATGGACATGTATAAATAGTCGCTCTTAACTAATGTTGCCTTATGTCTGAGCTATTGTTCACATTTGCATCATGTTGCATATCTTACTGTGGTGTCTGATCTTGTTATAAATAAAGAATTAAAAAAAAAAAAAAACAGCATCAATTCTTCTAGGTACACTTGCACACAGTTTTGTATGAAACTCCGCAGGTAGGCTGTCCCAAATGATTTTGGAGAACTATTAACAGTTTTTTCTGTGGATTTAGGCAGCTTCAGTTGCTGCTGTCTCTTAATGTAATCACAGGAACACTCAATGGTGTGTAGATTAGGGTTCTGGAAACATCTCTTCCAGGACTCGTTGGATCATACCTCCAGATGGGTTTACTTGTTTCTGTCAATTCTGAAGTGGTGGAACGGATAGACATTTTCTGATTGCAAAGGGCAGTGATGCGTCTTTCATTTGATGCACCGACTTTTCATTTACTGACCTCTGCATTTATGGTCCTCCGCATGGCTGGTTTCTTTGTGCTTCTTCAGAAGAGCTTCAAGAGCACAACTGGATACCCATGTTTGCTTGGAAGTTTGTGCCCGGGGAGACCTTGCAGATACAGTATTTGTATTCTGTTGCTGTGCTCAGTCTTGCCATGGTGTATGGCTTTTGACATTTAACGGTCTTCAGTAACCTCACCGTGTTAGAGTTTGGCTGTTCCTCACCCAGTTTTATTCCTCCTACATAGCAGTTTCGTTTTTACACAAATTTGTTTCAGCCTACATATTATATTGATAATCACTAGCACCTGTCTGGTATGAGTTTTATCATGCACCTTACTATATCTGTACAAAATTGCTGATCTTGTGCAAGTGGACCAAGCGGAATGGATGTTTTTTTTAAGGCAAGAGTGGTCACACCAAATATTGATTTCAAAGCTTATTCTTCTGTTAACCCACTTTGCATTTTAATTAACAAGAATATTTAAAAGACATTCTTACTTTACAGCATGTCGATTTGTAGAATTATGTAGTGGTTAATTACATTTATGAAAATAGATCAAATTATTCAAAACGTATCTAAACATATTTTGGTGTACATTAAACACTTAATTAAATAAAGAACAGTTGGCCAAAAAATTGTCCAAAAGGGGGGGGGGACGGGGGACAGACCAGGGGGTAACCCTAATGGGGTAAATAATGAAAAGAAAACGGAAAGTCTGTCCTACAAAATATGAGAACAAATCAATGAATATAACAAAAGGCAGTTAAAATTGTGTACTTTATTTAACAAATCAATAACATTGATTTGCTAAACACACAAAAAGGCACATAAAAGAATATACATATACAATATTCTGCTTATGGTATCATAGTGATCAGTAGATATCATAGGGAGACATATATTAGTCCCCAATACAAAAACAGGGAAATTCTACGGATAAGAACAGGTCTCAGAGAAATTTTACAAGTCAGGCGATTATAATCCTTTACAACAGGGAAAGCAATAATTTAATTAAATTGGAAGCAGCACGGGCTGTTTTACAATGAATAAAACAATAAAGACAATACAAAAATAGCCATCAGGAAATAAATTTTTTATTTCAGTTATGTCACCTTGTCTGAATTCCTATTAATTCTCTATTCATAACACCAGTGTGAAATGGTTAATGGTTTATTTACCTGATCAATTTGGTCTTGCTGACCCTGGTATACAGCTTCTGGGTCAGATGGGGGTCTTAGGTGGAATTCAGAATCACAGAAGTTCCCATCCCCGTCCACATTATGTAAGCTTTCCCAGACAATATTTTCTTCTGTTAGAAATCCCTGGTCTGTTACCAGTAAGTACAGAAGACCCTGAGGAAATTCATAAAGTATTGGAGATGTAAATTTACCTTTTCATGTCACCAGGAGAAACACCATTAAAACAGACCGGGTACACAAGAGGGGCAGAATAATGACAGTGGTTCTAAAAATTCAGAACAGTAAAACCACTCTCTCCAATTATCTTCATACTTTCATCTTATTGAACCATGGAGACTTTAGGTGCGTGCACACATGACAAAAGCTACAATCACATTTTGTTGCAGTTATCTCTTAAAGATCACATTTTCTAATTTTCTCCATTAGAAACGTAGATTCTATTGCTTCTGCATGTTAGTGTACTTACAGAATACCGGTAATGAAATTTGATGTGAGAGAATGACAATTTTTGGTCATTATACAGCAAAGGGAAAAGGTTTATATAAAGTTTACATTTCAACAACAGATTCACTTTAAAATAAAATATTTCTTAACAGTCCAATTAGCAAGAAATGCATTACTCAGGCTTTTTACACAAAATAAATAGAATACTCCAGTTTCCTTAGCATCTATTCTGCTTACAGTCACTGTAGTGAAATAAATGAAAATATACAGAAGTCAAAGGTGTTTAAAGAAACAAGACATGCCATTTTTGTGGGCGATACAAATGTAAAGCCATTATAGAGAAGCACTTCAGTTTGTTATTTAATTCTTTATTTTTTATAATTTCCATTTGAACATTGTGTTATGTGATGATTTGAGAGATCCAAAGAGGGGTTTGGTATAGAGTCCTTTCAGCATGTTATTGTGAAGTAACATTTCTGCTCTTGCATTTACAGCCTTGAGAAATAGAAAATAATTACATGATTTTGCTATTTCATGACGAAACGTCATGATTTTATGTCAAGACACGGAGGCTCATATTGCTTAACCCTTTCTTTACTGTACACCAATAGCAGCAAAGAATACAACAGTAAGAAAAAAAAATGGTAACCATAGTGATAGGCCACACCCATACCAAGTCCCAGTATAATAGTCAGCACCTCCCCACACATTTCCTCTTTCTTTGGAGATACGACATAAAAACCACAAAACAGGAACAATGAAACAGTCCAAACCAAATAGAACAGGCGACCCGAAATCCAGCCGGACTCCGATCAGGAACCATAATGAAACTGGGACCGATCCATCAATAAATAGGATTCCAACAGTGAGGGGCCCATCACAGAACTGTCCATAAACTTCCTGGCCACTTGGTGAAGCCGAGAGAGAAGTGATGAAGACCCTTGTGTCACGGCAAGGGTGTATAATTTATTATTACACTATGGAATATCATCTTTTAATGTAATTTGTGAAGTAAATGGCACAAATTACAGAGATGCTATTGCTGAGGTCAACAGGGGTTACATCTTTTGAAGCTGGGACCCCCACAGAGGTCAGATGACAGAAGGGGTAGTGTGAATGGCATAGCAATGTGAAAAGGATTTTACTATATGGATGTGAAGTCTGCAAGGTGTGAGGTTCTACACTTGGAAAAAGTCTGAATGTCTCTTCATCCATTTGGCATGTACCTTGTAAGTGATGAGTAAATCTCTTTGATATGTAAATGCCATTAGCTTTGTTCTAGTATCATATCCAAAGGAAGGACAAAAACATTCATATTTACCCCCACAGAATAATAATTAAGCCTCATTTTTGTTATATTTGGAATGTGACAAGCGCCATCTTCTAACCAAGTCCAAACATGAGTGGCCTAACTTGACCCTAGGGAAAGGAATTGTGATGTCCGTCCTATTGGATCGTGGGTGGGACGTGCAACATGTCTATGGAATGGGAAAATAATAACAAATTTGTAGATGCAATTATTATTTCTGTGGCAGGTACAAAAAAGAAGATAGAGTCAAATGTTTCCATTTGGATTGACAGTGGTCTGGAACAAAGGAGGTGGTCAGTTATTATTTCTGTAGGTACGCCTTAACTCCACCCCTGGGCAAGACTTGATAAACCACAGGGTATATATCTAATGATCCTGAAGGGTGTTTGTGTACTTGCTTGGGGCCAAGATCTTATTTTGAGTGAGTCACCATCATCTTTCCTTGCCAGAGACCCCCTGGACAGAAGTTGTACTTTGAAAACCTAAGTGAGTTCTGTATTTTATCCTTTTTGTTTTTATCTGTTGTTGGTGTAAATAATTTGTTTATCATATATTTTTATATGCACTGTGACTATCTTTTGCTCATAATAAACATTCATTTATTAAGTTTTGCCTTTGTCTGGTTAAGGATCACGTTACCTGAAGAGACTAGTTAGTATTTTTGCAATAACTTAAATATTGTTCTAAGTAATATTTGGTGGGTTTTATTATTGATTTACCTGGGGGACCAAGGCACCCCATTTATAAATTGTCTTGGTGGTGGCAGCGTTAAAATAGTAATAGTTATATTATTATGTTTAAGTGTGGGTGGTGTTAAAGGGGGGATTTTGTCATTATTTCCGGTCTAGTGCAGACAAATAGTGAACTTTAACCCTTTCACCACCACAACTACGTCACGCGCACTCTTGGAGTAGGGTGCGTTCGTGACACCTTGATCAACATCGAATCAACCTGTGAAAACACAAAAGACAGGAACTGAACGGTTAAATCGGTACTTGAACCAAAGTGCGCATGCCAAGACAAATTTAGAACTAGGCAGAAGCAACATCGTGTGCATAATTCAACAGAGGCATATTGGATAATCATGTAACATGAACAGGTTAATAAACGGCTGAAACTATACAAAAACCCAGAGCGCATAATGAATACCTACCAACCCTAGAAAACCTTTAGGAGAATAAACAACCGGGTGGGGTAAATCAGTGAAATAACAGAAGGGTGGGACAATACTCGCCTCCGTGTCCTTCACAAAATCATGACTTTTCGTCATGAAATAGCAAAATCATGTAATTTTATGTCAAGACACGGAGGCTCATATTGCAAGTTTAAAGCTGATCAATTACCGAAGAAAAAACGTGAGGCAAAGGTCGAAAGTAAAACTCACGAAAAGTGGATTTGCGGGACCAGTCGGCCAGCCCCATCAGATCTTCCAGACGTGCACCTGAATTCACCATGGACGTGGCCGATGCCCCTCGGGCTGAGTGGGAACCGAAGATGTACGTATCCACGCCGGCCAGAGAAATAACCCATTTAACCCAGCTAGCCAATGTAATACTGGACACAGGGGAAAAGGGGCGACGAAGCGAGAGAAAGAGCTGGGGAGATGACGTTGCACGATGTGCGCTCGTCCGAAGTTCATATTCCCGTAAGCAGGCCAGGGAAGCTCGGATAAGAAACCGATGGAATCGCGGTCTTGCTGCGTCTGGAGATGTTAAACGTCACCCCGTCCGGAGTGAAAGACCTAGCATCATAGTCCAGGGCACGAACATCCAATACCCGTTTGCATGAAATGAGACAGAACAGGGAGACCAACTTGGCCGACAGCTATCGTAAGGAGAGCTCCGCATTAGGCGGCCAGGAGGAGAACAGCGACAAAACACAGGAAAGATACCATGTAGTTGAGTAACGAGGTCTAGGGGGGCGCGACAGGCGTGAGCCCCTAAGTAAGCAGCACACTAACGGATGTTGGCCTGCTGGGCAGCCGTCAAATCCTTGGTGAGCCAAGGAGATGGCCGATCTGTACAAATTAATCGTGCGATATGCCCGACCAGCCTCAAATAATGAAGTCAGGAATAGAAGGATCGCCGTCACAGGTGCTGAAACGGGATCCAAGTTCCGAGCCAGGCACCAGCCAGTCCAAACTCTCCAAGCGGACCCATATGATTGTCTAGTCCCGGGAGCCCATGTGTTAGCCAGAAGGCATCGAATTGCGTCCGAAACCCCTTGGATTTCCCAGGGACCCCTGAAATCCTCCACGCGAGCAGCAGTAATGACCCGTCCACTAGGAAGGGATGCTGGAAGCCCGATAGGTCCAGGAGGAGGTTCGGTAGAGACGGCAGCAGCCTGGGTATGTCTATCGCCAGTTCCAGGAGTTGTGGGAACCAGGATTGGGTCCCCCAGAATGGGGTTAGTAGGAGCAGGTCGGCCATTTGGCGGCAAACTTGGAGCAGGACCCGAGGGATCATGGCAAACGGGGGGAAGGTGTAGAGGAGTGAGTCGGTCCAGTCTTGTAGGAAGGCGTCCACTGCCTCCACGGTTGGATCCGGGCGCCAGCTGTAGAACCAGGGCAATTGGGTATTGAGCCTGGACGCGAAGAAGTCGATGGCAAAAGGTCCCCATATAGAGGATATAGCGGAGAATACCACCAGGTTCCAGTCCAAGCAAGAGGCCCTGAAGTCCTTCGCCAAGCGGGCCACGATTGCCAATTGAGTGCCACCCATGTGGTTGACATAGCGGCCCGCTGAAATGTTGTCCATGTGCAGGCGGATGCATGCGCTGGCAGTCCCGTTCGCAAAACTCCGGATCACGAATGAACCCGCCAGGAGTTCCAGAGCATTGATGTGGAGGCGGGATTTGTCTGCTGACCAGCACCCCCGGTAGTCACCCCGTTGCAATGGGCACCCCAGCCGTGGAGACTTGCGTCTGAGTCTACCGTAAACTCTGGTTGGGAACCGAAGATGGCCTTGCTATTCCAAGCCGAGAGGTTGTGGATCCACCAGGTCAATTCGTCCCTGGTCTCCGAGTCCCGGGAGATCATGTCCACATAGGACGCCCCGCTGCAAAGGTGTGTGATCTTCAGGCGCTGGAGGGCACGGTAGTGGAGTGGGGCTGGGAACACCGCTTGTATTGATGCAGCCAGAAGGCCAATGATCCGTGCCAGGTGGCGCAGAGATAGCTGGGTGCGCGGCGCAGTTCCTTGTAGATTGTCCGTATCTTGGACGTAGGGAGGCTGAGTGACTCCACTTCGGAATCTACCGTGAAGCCTAGGAATGCCATGCGTTGCAAAGGAGATAGGCAGGATTTTTCCCAGTTGAGGAGAAAACCCAGGTGGGAGAGGAGGTCCATCGTCCATTGAAGATGTTTCCGAAGGACTGAACGATCCTGTGCCATGATAAGGATGTCGTCCAAGTAGACGATTAACCCGACTCCCCGACTGCGCAGCCAAGCCATGGTGGGGCGCATCAGTTTCGTTAAGCACCAAGGGGCTGACGACAGTCAGAAGGGGGATGCACGTGAAGGTCCCTGGAGGACTCGTCCACTGGGACCATCAGGTAGGCATCCTTCAAATCCAACTTTGCCATCCAGTCTCCCCGAAGGAGTAAGTCTTGCAGGAGGTGGATGCCCTTCATTTTGAAGTGACGATAGCCCAGGTTGATAACTGGGTGCATTTGTCCGCCTTTCTTCTCTACTAGGAAAATGTTGCTGATCACCCCTGTGGAGGACACCGGGGCCAGCTCTATCGCCCCTTTTGCATGGAGGGCCGTTAGTTCCGCATCTATCAAGGCGCGGTCGGCTGTTGAAAGCAAAATAGGGCGAGGTAGGGGAACGTGACATGAAGTGAAACCCCTGAACTGTGGTCAGAACCCAGACATCTGAGGTGATGGCCGACCAGGTGTGGGAAAAATGATGGAGTCTGCCCCCTACACACATATTGGAAGAAACATGAGGTAGATGTAAGCTTACCCTAAGGGCGTCTAAAGCCTCTGGAACGCCATGGTCTTCTGCGAGAGGGGAAGAAAGGAGACTGATGTCTGTCTCCTGGTAGGGTGTAGGTGCCTCGTCCCGATCCACGGGCATTGTAATTGGAACGGCCGGACAGACGACCCCTGAATCTGCCGGCCCTGGTAGAGACCCGCCCCTGAAACACCCTCTTCATGGAGGATTGGGCCTTATCTAGGGGTGTAAAGGCACCCACAAAGTGTCTCAGGTCCTTACTAAAGGAGCCCCCAAATAAAAGGCCCTGGGCGTCCTTGCCCGCCTCTGTGAGGGTGAGGTTGGCCAGTTTGGGTTCAATCACAAACAGAATAGCTTTACGCCTTTCAATGGACAGGGAAGTATTTACGCTGCCCGCAATGCAGATAGCCCTCTGCACCCAGCCACGGAGTTCCTCCGGGTCAACCTGCTGATTCTCGGCTCTGACGATTTCAGCTAGGTCAAACAGTTTGGCCAAAGGGCCGAATATATCGATATGTTTATCTTGGCGATTTAAGTGCTGAATCTAGACCCTTGCGGGGATTCCAACCCATTTTGGAGAGGAATTGGGTCATCTTTGGGTCCACTATAGGGGTCTCACAGACTTTCCCAGGTACCAATGGTCTTGGGCATTCAGCCCTAAGTTTATTACGTGCCACCTTACTGAGGGGGCGGCGTACCCAGTTTTCAAGGTACCATGCCACATGGTCCGCCGGGAGCCATTCCGCTGACCTCTGAAGATGGAGAGCATCTGGGTCAAACATGGGTTCCCCAGACGGATCCACGAGGGTGAAGCCCGCAGTAGCTGGGGAGTCACTCCTAGGGCCACTCGCAACCATCACGGAGTGAGCAAGGCCAAAAGGGTCAGATTCCTGCCCACATAATTCATCCTCTGAGTCATCCACAGACTCAGTGTCAGCCTCCTCACTAGACCCGATTTCTGAGTCGCTCTCCTTTTGTGCTCTAGCACATTTCCACTGCTGCGCCCGTTCTGCCTGGCACGGAAAGGCTCTCTTGTGTGACATAGGCACACGGTCATGGGTGGATACAGTCACACCAGTCGTGTTGGTTCTGGAGGCAAGGGGATTTGAGTGCCTGGATTTGGCAGAAGCCTTTTTTGGTGCCTCCCCTATAGGGTCAGTATCCGAGCGCGCTAAGCGTGTTGGCGTGCCCGAGCCTTCTGCGGCCAGAGGGCATGCAAGTAAGGCCTGTGATATGGTCTGGGAGAGGACAGAGGTCATAGAGCCCATAGCAGCCATAATGGCGTCAGAGACTGAATGCTGTAGCTCCAGGGACTGGGTCTCATCAGTCAGGGCATAAGGTCCATAAGAGAAGAAGGGGAATCAGAATTGGAAGGTGGTTTATCCAAAACCTGGGGCATGTCCATCTCCCTAGGGGAGGAGGGGTTGGCAGGCACTTTAGATCTGGGCATGGTAGTGCTGTGAGATATTCCCCAACAAAAGAATACAATTATATAAACAGTATAATTGTATGGGATAAAGCTAAAAATCAGAGTAGAGGAGACTAGCGGGAGTTAATCACCCCAAACTAGTATAACCTAGGAGGGTATAGTTGGAAGCTCACCAGGGTCCAAACTGGCTGATAGGAAGAGAACACGCACAAAGCCAGAGAGACAGGAAGTCAGAAAATGGCCGCCGGCAATTTCGCGAGATTCGTGGCCAAAACTACAGTCAATTCATCAAGTTAAAGAGCTGAACGTTCGGCAAAAAAGAGACGAATTCAATGGGATAAATAGACGAATGGAATGAATAGGAAAACAGAAGAATGCACTGACTGTTCGAATAAGAGTAGTCAAACGCGGCAAAACAGACGAATGAAACGAAGTGCTAGAAAAAACAAACGAACGGCATGTGTTTGTGAAGAATTTGCAACAACTTAATCTGATAGTAAGCCCTAAGTGGTATAAACGAACCTCTTTTATAGATAGCCCTAAATAGTATAAGCGAACCCGAGATGCTGATTTAATAGTAAGCCCTACGTGGTATAGGCCAACCCCAGACCAGGCTAGATATAGGCTAGATATAGCAGAATCGATGATGATCCTAAGTAAGATTAGTAGTAATCAAAAGTAACTCTCAGTAAGATTAATAGTAATCAAAAGTAACGCTCAATGCGCATTTCGGCACAGACGTGCGCCTTTGTCAAGAGCTAGAGCTCTCACTGACAGCCGCTAGAGGCGCTTCCGCGCTTCTCACTGTGATTTTCACAGTGAGAAGACGCCAGCGTCCATAGGAAATCATTGAGAATTCTTTCCTGTGGACTGGCTGAATGCGTGTGTGGCTCTTGCCGCGCATGCGCATTCAGCCAATGACAGGGAAAGGAGGAGGAGAGTCCCCAGCACTGAGGCAGCCCGACGTGGAAAAAAGGTAACGGACTAACCCCTTCCTCACCCTAGTGCCCGGCGGGAGGGGGGCCCTGAAGGTGGGGGGGACCCAAGGACCCTATAGAGCCAGGAAAACGAGTATGGTTTCATGGCACTATAGTGGTCCTTTAAAGGGTTACTCCAACCACCATGACCACTTCTGCTCTTAAAGTAGTCATTGTGGTAGAAGTCTGCAGAAACGCTGTACATCCAGAGATATTTGCACTTGTGTTCCAAGGACTACTTTCCCTTCCCTAGCACACATGACCAGTGGTGGACTGGCCAGGATGTCAGCTTGCCTGATGGCAAGTGGGCCCTGTGGGCCACTGATGAAGTGGGCTTCCTAAAGTAAAAAAAATGCCCTTCTTTAATGCGACAGAGAGGGGGCCCAAAGCACCTGCCCCTTAGGCCAGCAACAATCTCTGAAAGAATTGCGAGTTCGTTTTTTATTGCACTATGTGCCAATCAGCATCGCCGCATACTGTTGGACTTGCGCCTCCCCTGCCCTGCAGCGTGACTGTGATGTCTCACGTTGAGACAGAATCAGGCAAGGGTCACACTGAGACGGAAGAAATGCCGCCGATGCACGGCAGTCACAAGGTGTGACAAAGTAATTGTAATTGTGATAGTCTCTCTCTCTCACTTCGGCTGTTCCCTCAAGCCACAGCTCAGTCTAAGCTACTGAATAGTACACTATGGGTCATTAGAAATACAAAGCACATGTTAGGAAGCCAAAAACTCTAGATTATTTGAATATAAACAATTGAAATAAATTAAAACTAATAAAATAGGATAACGAAAACGGACATGTTTTAGTTGAATGATGGCAAGAAGAGAATGACCTAATTTATTATATACACACACACTGTATATACATGTACACACATCTCTATTAAGGTAGCTTTGTGTTCTGCACCGATTAGCATATAATATTAGGTTTTAACCATTTCTTTTGAGAATATTACTAGCACTTATGTTTCAGCCAGAATACTGTCGATATGACTTTCTAGTTTGATTACTACCACATTTCGTTTTATGACTGATGGGAATCCTGAAAAAAAGAGGCAAGGGACTTCTTTTTGCCTCCAAAATAATTAAGCTCTGCTTTATGTGTTAACTTCTGCTATCAGTATTTCCACTTCAGCTTCTGGAATCCCAGCTGTATTAATGGGACTAAAAATACTACTCTCTGTGGCTCAGCTGATATCAGATGCTTTATTGCAATTGTAGCTAAAGCCTATACCTTGGGAGCAAAGCACTGACTCCAGTCGTTAAATGTAAATTTTCAAATAAAGATTAATGAAGCTGAATTTGAACAATTGCTATATTTTCTCTCAAGTTGGGCCACTGGTGTATCAGGAAGCCTGATAGGTTGGAGGCCCTGTGTGTGGCTGTCATTGGAGATGTAGCGACATGCAGGTGTTTTTTCACTTCTACAAGGTCATATATAATGGGGAAAAGTAGCTAGTTTTAGAAGAAATTAGATTAATATATCAGACGGCTCAGGTACACGGAGGAAGACTTAAAAGGCTTAAAGGTATAGCAATTCAATTCCTTGCAGAATTAAATAAAGAACACAATACTTCTAATGATTAATGTCATATCCTGCTTGCACAGTCCCCCTTGTTATACAAAATTGTTTTTTATTGTAGCCAAAGCAACTTCGGTTTTGTTGCCACTTAGGCTTGCTATAGGCAGAAGTGCACTGGTTTTGTATACCTAAACATGGTGGATCTGTAAAAATCGCAAAATACCCAAACATCTGAGAATGGTGGCACCAGCATAATGCTTATCTCATTAGCCCTCATCTACCTATTGTTCCTGTGTCACTGTGTAATCGTCTCATTTATTGTAAATATACCCCTTTCACAATATTGTAAAGCGCTGCGGAATTAGTTGGTGCTATATAAATACCAATAATAATAACCACCAAGCTTAAATAAATTCACAGTCTTAATATCCATTAAGACTCAGCAATCCTTGACCTAGCTGAATAGTCAGCCACAATAGTTGGCTTCTACGCGCATCGCAAAATTATTATACACAATGATATCAAATACTAGGAAGCTTTCACTAAATTGGGAACTTTTAAATACAGTAAGATTTTGGACTAACCTACAGTAATCAACATCATGCAGGATCCGATACAAAAACAGAAAATGCAATTAACTAACACTAAGCCGTGTTAAGCAAACTGTGGAGATCAAAAGATCACCCCATCCTGTCCAGCATTATTTAATTCCATTAGTGGGGCCTAGTGACTAACCACTAACTTTAACAGGAGCCCTCCATGTTACGAAGGATCTCAGCACAGCTGTATTCTCAGAGATTCCACCAGTGTAATCAGCAAGATTTCAGCAGCAAGGACCCATAACCAGTGTTTGGAGGTAGGGCTAGGAGAAAACAAACACACACACACTCAAACACTTGAATTCTGGGCAGTCACATACAGCAGAATGTTTATAGCAAGATGGAGAAAGCCACTACAAGAAAAGAGGTTAGATGGAGGGAGAGGAACAACTGTAGGCTGGGGATTGAAGGAGTGACGAGTGTGGAGTAAAGAGACAAAGACAAGAGATTTCACCACTAAGCTATGTAGTGGTCACACAGGTATGCAGAGACAAATAGTTTAAGGATCTTGAAGGATTTATAACTCAAGGGTGGCCTAGATACCGCTGAAGTGAGTTCCTCATACCAAGAGTGATTGATGGTAACATTTAAAAGCAGCCTGCTGGGAATAATGGTTTCATTATCCCCTTTAGCTATATCAGAGAAGACTTACAGACCACAGGAATTTGGAGATCCAGGTAAATGCCAAACTGCTGAATAATAGCTTGCCTTCTTACAGTTGGACTATTGGCACCATAATCACTACAGTGGGCTGCAGTGGGTATGGCGTGAGGACTAAAAGGATGCTGCACCATGCTTATTTAACAACAATTTCAGCAAGTCTGACAAGAACTAAGGCTTATTCAGCACCTAAAGCGCAGCGGCTCAGTTGCTGAAGTGATACTTTACCGACTTCAGTTGGAAGTCTGACTTTGACTTACTGAATATAAGAGAGGGTTATTAGAAGGAATGTATGTATCTCACTGAATATAAGAGTGTTATTAGAGGGAATGTATCTCACTGAATATAAGAGGGTTATTAGAAGGAATGTAGCTCGCTGGATATAAGAGAGGGTTATGAGAGGGAATGTAGCTCGCTGGATATAAGAGAGGGTTATGAGAGGGAATGTAGCTCGCTGGATATAAGAGAGGGTTATGAGAGGGAATGTAGCTCGCTGGATATAAGAGAGGGTTATGAGAGGGAATGTATGTATCTCACTGAATATAAGAGAGGGTTATTAGAAGGAATGTAGCTCGCTGGATATAAGAGAGGGTTATGAGAGGGAATGTAGCTCGCTGGATATAAGAGAGGGTTATTAAAGGGAATGTAGCTCGCTGGATAAAAGAGAGGGTTATGAGAGGGAATGTAGCTCGCTGCATGTAAGAGAGGGTTATTAGATGGAATGTATCTCACTGAGTATAAGAAAGGGTTATGAGAGGGAATGTAGCTACCACTGGCACAAGTATGAGTACTCAGATTTGACTATTCTATTCAGTCCTTTTATTTATTTTTTAATTCTTGATTATTGCTCACTCACCAAGGTTCTTGTTTGTATTATTTTATTTGTAATTTTTCTGAGACTCATTTTTTAAACTTAAAAAGCCTGACTGCTTGATGGAGCAAGTGCAACCAAATCCCCTCTAAAAAATATACCCCCTGATAAACATATTGTGAGCGATACAACTGGAATAAGTTATTTAATTTATTATAATCTATATAAAGGGAATCTATGGTCCTGAAAAGAACAATTCTGTTTTTCTTGACTGTAGACTTCCTTCTATTGCTGTGAGCACTGTCCACCCCCTTTGCTGTAAAAAAGTTAACAAACGAGACTCCTTCACTGCAGCTGCCTGCTCTGCACCGCCCACATCCTCTGCAACCTCCTGCAATCTAAAGCTTTTCATACAGAGGCATAGGATTGGAGATCGGTATGAGCGGCAAACACCATGCTCCTCCAATGACGTTCTGCTATGAGCCTCTAGTGCAGTGGTTTTCAAACCAGTTCTCAATGCACACCTACCAGTCCAGGATTTAATGATTGCCTGAAAGGAAAAAAAAACACCTTGACATAACTGGGTAATCCCTAAATCCTGGACTTGGTAGCCATACCTTGGTTTGGAAACAACAGCTGTAGTGGCTATCAGAAATCAAATGCTGAGCAAAAAAAAAACAAAAAAAAAACAAGAAGATGAAGAGGTCTAGGTGAATACAGTGTTACTTTAATTTGATTTTTCTGTAACTGTGTAAAAAAAAAAAAAATCAATTAAAAAAAAACTAATGTAAATATATTTATAACTTTACAGTTCTTTTATAAATTGTGATTCAGGGCTTAGAAATATAAAATAAACTCACCCTTTTCCCAGCACCATTTTATCACACCAGTGGCTTTGTCTGCGGTGAGATCATTCCTCATGGCTATTGGTCCAATCCAAAGCTTCTTAAAGAGAAGCATTGGCAACCTACAGCACATGCATGACAAAAATGCTTTACCGTTACCCCAAAGAGTGTCTATCAGCGGAGTTAAAAGCGTTCAGCATCTACCCGGGATTACCCACATAGACATAAACACAAGAACGACAACCGATCCGAACACAGAAAACACTTCGATCACAACCAAACACCAGAAAACGATCTAAAGACACATTGGAAACCCCCATTCTTGAAGGGGGCGAACACCCCTCCCCCTACACCCATAACCCCCACACCGACTCAAAGTTCTATACCCCTGAACCCAGATGTAACAGCACAGCCCTCGCTGACTAAGACACCATAACGTAAAGAACAGAATGAGATCACACTTACTCAAGCATTTAAAGAACCTGGCATTAAATACTAACGAGCTTAACACAACAAAAACCAGGACTAGCATCCAAAACAAAGAACTTAAGAATAGGGATGCTGGTGGATACATTAATCGGGGAAGACACCCCCAACTCCCTTTACCCACCTTGTTACTCCCAAACCCTGAGTATTGGCAACGTATGAATGCCTACAGCAAACAACAACAGAATGCAAGAAAATATGAATGTATGCAAATTTAACAATGTAAAATCTGAAAATGTAACCTCATCTTCTTGTAATACATTGTAACCCTTCTCCTTTTCTGTAACCCTCAAGCATGAAAGACTGATGAAAACTCAAAAATAAAGTATTTACAAAAAAAAAGCGTTCATCATTATCATGTCGGGTGTGAGGACGCAGAAAATGTGTAGGAAACCAGTAGAGATGTTTTCTCAAATGTAGATATTGGCATTTACGCAGGGACATGATCTTTGCACCAAAACCACTACATTACCAATATGAGATATCCTACCTTATATTTGGTCATGGTACTAAAATGATTGTTCCTGAAGAATACACAGAGCTCTCCTTCTTGTAGGGTTGTAGTCAGCTCACTGAGCCCATGGTATGTCAGCTGTGTGGCTGTGCCATTAAGAAACTGTTCAGCTGTAAAACCTACAAGAGAATGTAGAGAAGTAACGAGAGGTTTCAGCATGGAGAAAAATTGCTCTGCACAAGCTTAAGTGAAAATCCCATGCATTACCAAACACACACATACCTATATAGAAAACACACACACACACATATACATACATATATATATACATACATATATATATATATATATACATATATATATATATATACACATATACATTTATCTAGATTTTACAGGACACACTCTTTAAACTGAGTGTTAGAAGCTAACTTGTTTCAAGTATGTGATCATATACAGCTAAAGCACTAATTGAAATAAAATAAGGATCATTAGTTCAACATTAAAAATTATGCTTCTTAATATTTTTTCCAGCTTTTCAACTTATTTATTTCTGCGTTTCAATAATCTTGAGTTTTAAGGATTAAGACATTCAGCATGTCATCAGTCAGAATGTGTAATGTAACTGATAAATTCAGCTTCATTTCAAATGTATATAGAATAATAAGGTACCATTGTAAGGTATAGGATATGGAGGAGGTTTCTTTGAATCATCTTCTTCAATGGCTCCCCGTTTATTATAGTTGGCAGTAAAGATGGAGGATTGCTGGATAGCCATGTCACGGCTAACTCCTCTACTTCAACACTTATGGTCTAACCCTGGTACCGGCTATTGATAATGTTTGAGTGAAAATGAATCTGAGACAGTGCTTGTCCAATCGTTTTTTTTTTGTTTTTTTTAAAACGGATACAAATTATATATCTCTGATTAAAATAAAAATAATCTGAATAATTTTATTTTTGTTAATCTTCGATTTTAATCCAGCCTGGTTCTGCCTTTGGTAAAGAATTATGTTACCTGGAGACATATTTAATAGTATTTTTGATTGCATAGATGTTTTACTTGTGTCTTTTTTTAATCTAATTTGTTTGAGGGAACCGGAGGCACCCCATTTACCAATTGCCTTGGTGATGGCAACTTGTGATACTATAGTTAAGTATGGGTGGTGTTAAAAGCACATTTTTATCATAATTTTCAGCCTTGTGCAGACAAATAGTAATTTTTGTTTTAACTCTTTCACCCCCACAACCAAGTCATGGGCACGCTTGGAATAGTGAGGTTCATGACAGGCTGGGCCAGGGAACATGGGTAGGGTTGCAACATCAGATACAGACTATCCTAGCTAAAAGACTAATGAAAGTACCCCTTAGAATATTGGGCAGACTAGATGGACGGAATGGTCCTTATCTGCCATCACATTCTATATACGAAGCAGTTATATATATTCCTAAAGAAACCATGCAAAAAAAATAAAAAAATCTGTAAATGTTTTCTTTGGGGGTTTAACTACTGAACAAGTGATTGTGTGTTTTTAGTGGAGTGTGGGTATTTACACTGCACCGCATGAGAATTACAATCTGTTACATCCAATCATATCTGAGCAGAGCCCTCGTCATATCTTTTCTATACACACTGTAATAATATGAGGTAACATTTCCCCACTGAGTACACCTCTTTAAATTACACATAGAGCCAGACCACACCTGCCTCTTGTCCCTAGTCACACAGTTCTACACTATGTAATTATATAATCCGATATTTTAGGAGATATTTCCTATATCGATCAAAGGTTCTCCAGTAGGTTGTTAGATACTTTGGATGAAACACGCTGTACTTTCATTTGAGTGTTTTTAAGACTATTTTGGAAACTACCATGCTGCTTAATGCTGCACATTATGCGTGTATGTTGCTTTAAGCTCGAGTTCATTCCGTGCCCTTTTAAACTGTGTGTTGATCACAAGTAGCTACCATATACTCCAAACCAATTCTAAAAAGTCCTTTCCTCTGACTACTGAACTGACTTTACAAGTCTACACGCTGATAATGGTTACGGAGCTACTGATCTTTACATATCAATTGCTATATACCTGGTTATTAGAATCTTAAAAAAAAAAAATACAAAAGGGTTTAGTCTGTAACAAAACGCTTTTTTTGGTTGGTGTAACCCTTGCTGGTGCTCTCATCCCCTTCATTAAATAAATATCTGTGATCCAACGCCAACCTACTTACCTCTGGGGTAGCTGTTCCAGATGAACTATTTGCCTACATTCTGCCATTTGGCTTTCAATTCACTATAATTCAGAGTTCAGTCAGTAAACCCCAAAACAATGTAAGGAACTGTGTTCAAAAAAAATCTACATATGTCTTCCTTAAACTGAACCAGGACCATCTTATGGATGGACCAGCAAGTCAATGATTTTTTATTTTTTTTATTTTTTTTTAGCTTATCCATCCCTCTCTTCCATGAAACAATTAGAAGAAAATCAATAGTAAGTTTCCGCAGATACATTTTAGAAGTTGAGGTGGAGAGCTGAGCAAGGAACACAAATGCAACAATCAACAATGGCAGAACGGACAAAACAGCAGACTTAGGCTACCGCCTAATGCAAGAGCCAATTTGAGATACTAAGAAATAACAATATACAATTTCCGCTAATTCGTAAAAGCAAAGCTGTGCTCCATTTACAGTGCAGGCTTGCTCTCCCAATCCACTTGAAACCACTTTTATGCAAATTGAAATGCTCCTTTACTGCACAAAAGATTTAACTATTTTTTTTAGAAGCAAAAAGTACATTGTCAGTTTTCAAATTCAGGCTTTTTATAATTTATGTATTGTACTCTAAATAACATCATAGCTGATAACAGAACAAATAATAATAAAAACATATATCAACATGCACCTTAAAGTAACACTGTGTTTGGAATGCAAAGTTTTATTCCTTACACTAAAGTTTTCCTCTGCTCCCCTCCCGTTTCCAACCCAGTGTGTGTTAGAAAGTTATAGATGTTATAGAAGGATTCCAATTAAAATAGCAAGCAAACTTTTCTGTGTGTTTTATAATCTTAGCATTTGTTTAGACTGTAGCTTGAAAGTGAAAAGAGGCGCCTGGGACTAAACAAAACTAAAACTAAATTGGATTACATTTGGTAATCATACCTCCAGTGAAGAAAATGTATTAAATGTCCAGTTTCATCAATCATACAGTAATCTGTTTTAACAGGTGACTGCCTTTTCCCAGATCCATGTCTGATTTGTGCACTGTAGCAGAGAATGCATGCATTTCTGATACACGCTGCTACCCAGATTAACTCTCCTGTGTGTTAATATAATATAAGAACCAAGTAAACTGCAGGTTAAAAAAAAAACAAAACACATTTTCCAAAAAAAATAAATAAAATGCATTGACTTCTTCATCAAATTACGAATTTCCAATAAATCTTTCTCATTTAGAACAGAAAGAACTGCTTATCGCCCCAAACTATCATCTTTTCCAGCACAACAATTCCTTCCAAGAGAGTTATGTTAGGCAGTGTAAGGTGCGATTTTGTTGACAGCTCTCACCTAAAGTTGGAAGAGTTGTCTCAACGTATTTTCGGACCATGTTTCATCCCTTGCAATAAGATTTTGCCGATAGCAGTACAGAGAATCTATCAAAACACATTACTTGCCATTCTTAGCACTGAACAATAGGATACGTGTACTAAAATACAACGTTGCTGTTTAGAATTCATATTCTTAGTTATGTTTTTAGAAATTGAACGCAACGGACACACTCACAGATAACTGTATTTTCTCCTCTACAGCAAGGTCATTTTCTCCTGTGTAGGGGAAGCAACACTAAACATAGAATATGTTTGGGGGGTAACAATTAACAAAGACAAAGTAATGCCAAAATGTTAAACTTTTGCTTAAACATTCATCAAGTACTAATCAAGTACTAATATCATTGCTTCCTGCAGTTTCATGGAGATTAAGTCTGTGAAAAGACACTGGACGTCCTCATGCTTGCACGAGGACATCCAGTGTCTTTTAAAAAAACAATAGGAAAGCATCAATTCATTGCTTTCCTATGGGGAAGGCCTAATGCTCGCGCAGCACTTTCTGCACATTATGTATCCATATCACCGTGGTGTTTGCAGAGGAGGAGACCAACCCAGCACCAAGGGACTTTGGTGCTGGAATTAAGTGTTAGAAGGGTTTTTGACCCTTTCATTGCCAGCCAGTGGGAAGAAAGGGTTATGGTGCCACGGGGGCAGAGTGAGAGTATAGTCTTGGGATACAGCTTTGTATTCCTAACAGTATAACGTTCCTTTAAGTGAAAGCAATAAACCATATTTAATAGCAGACATGTATCATATGTAAACCACGCCATGCAAAGAAAAAGAGTGAATAGTAGACCTGTACATACATACATACACATTTATTTTGAATACAATAAAATTAAATTGTGGGGGTGGGGGTGTTAGAGTGGCCCCCAGTGAGCATCTGGTGGGGAACTTCACAATAATTCATTGGAAGTGGAAATATCACGGTCCACAACTCCACCCATGGCCAGCGGGTGGCAGCTATTAGAAAAACAGGAAGGGGGGGGGGACCTAAAGTATTACCTCACCCTAAGTATTACCTCACCCTAATAACACGCTATAAGGCAGGGGTGGGGTGGGGATTAAAAAATAAATAGAGATATATATATATATCTCTCTCTCTCTATCTCAAAGCAAGCAGTTATAAGGGCTTTCCAACATGATGCAATGTCAGTCAGAGTTCTGTCCATCCCCATTCTGTAAGGTGGGACACAGGGGAAGAAATGTACTGGCTGCTCGTTGCTTAGCAGACATGCCACGCCACCACTCATAATATGGCAAATAGGCATTTCTGATAAACAGTGAGCAGCCAGTGGCTGATTGTGGGAATGGCTGAATGAATTCGGTCTTGAAGCCATAAGGTCAATGGTGGCTTTGCTTTCTTTTTCAGAAATTTTCGGTAATTTTGTCATTCTTAAAATGAATGCACATGTCTACTCCTTAATTTCCTGTGGAAGCCATGATTTTCAGATATACAGATAAGACTGTACATTTACTAACATGTTTAAAAAACTTATTTTTGGACTTTGTTTTGGACTTATCAATTGTAGTAATTTTATCAACTAGTAACTTGCATACTATTCTGCACATTTTATTTGTCAATGTTATTGCCAATTATTTGTATTCTATTTTTCCTAACTTTATTACGTGTATCTCACTTCCAATTTATAGCTCCTGGATACCCACACTATATTTTATGGTGCATTGCTTGGAAAATAATCCAGCTCCATAAAGGCAAATGTTTGAATATTTGGCTCTCATACCAAAAAGACTGAATGCTCTCTCTGTATGGGGTTTGTATTCTTTATATTACACTATTCGTTATCAGGGTTTCTGTCTTATCCAGGATTTATTAACATTTACTTTAAAAGGTGAGATGGGTATACAAGAAAGACATTTCCAATTTAAAACAAAGACGTCACATGTATTACGTGTAAATATTCAAAATCACTCACCCACCTTCACTAACAAGCTCACTCCTGTCGGACTGCTTGCATGAGATGATCTTCTCAACCAGCTGGTTATAACTACAGTTGCCAACGGCTGTTGCAACCTCGACAATCTAGAAGATGGGAAAAAAAACATACACTGTATTGAGAAGACCACAGTGGGGAAAAAAGCATCAAAATCATTTGCATCCGATTCATGTTTACAGATTAAATCTTTGAAGTGACATAAAATAAAAGTCAATTAAAACCACAGAAAAAAAAAACTCAATTCCTGCACAGCTCTCACAACAAACAAGAATTTCCCAGGCACTCAGAATGGAATATATAATAACAGCTCATGCAGTAGACCCAGAAAAACAAATAGAATTTTATCAGTAAACAAGGATCTGTCAAAAGCAAAGGTGTCATATAGGGCTAGACAAATAGTTCACATGTCCAGAAGTGTAATAATTCTGAAAATGATACAATTTGTTAATTCTGTTGCCATTTTCATCAGTACCAGAAATAGTACTACACTAAATGCACTAATGATACTATGTTTTCGAGAAAAAAAAAAAAAGAGAAAAGCAGTTGGTTAAAAATACTTATCTCTCGAAAAAGAATATAAAATCCATGTAGAGTATATTTTCTGGGTGAATGAAGTGCATTAAAGCGCTACATTTTAATGCACTTTAATAAAATAAAATAAAAAATAGAAAAAAAAGATTAAATTGTGAATTTAGTTGCCAGTGGATCAATACATTGATTTCTACCAATTGTGGACCGTTGCTCTAGTAACATTTTAATACGTCAATCACAGCAAGAAGGATGTATTCTTCACCTATACATGCTCTACAAGCCCACTGCTTAAAGCAAAGTTAAGAAGTCGGGAGAATTAAAAATTGCATTTTGCTTTAAATGTATGATATCAATAATAAAGAAAAGATGGAGAACAGCCATGTGCATGGTTTATAAAAAAACAAATCAAGGGTACTTGGCCAAAAACACAAAACAAATTTGTATTGCTGTAAATTGTGTTGCAAAAAGCAACCAAAAGCCTCCATCAACCATTCAACATATAGACGAGGATAATCATGCACATGATTAATGAACTATTCAAAATGTGATGTGATTTTACCCAAGTGCTGCAATAAAGTTTACCTAAAACAAGGGCAGCTGAGCCTCTGACATACTTGGATTTTTGCACCCCTCCCTGTCACAGGTGCCTCATCCCAGGGCCCTATTTAGCCTTGTACTGCAGAGAGCCCCAGATGGAATTTTCCCCCCCAATGAAAGTAAGAAAACTCCATGGTGACAGAATGTTCCATCAAATAAGACGCCAAGGGGAACAGAGAATCTCCTGAAGAAGTCTAACCGACGAAACACGTTAAGCAGCTACGAGAGCCCTGTATTGATGGTAAAGCAGTCTTATCTTGTCAGTACACTGTTGGTTTTTGTGTTGTGTAGTGTCATTTGTCATTTTTTGTACTTTGGCACTTTTTGCACTGGCACTTTGTTATATCTGCACAGTCATCTGTATAGCTGAAGCTGCTGTCCGTAGGGGCCATCGTGTCTTATTTGGCTTTTTAACATTGTATTGCCATTTTGCACATTTGTGTGTGTGCTATTGCTTATTTTACCTGGATATATTACTAATAAAGTGGATATTTTTCTTACATCTATTTATCCCTCCTATCCATGGGAATCTCCAGATTGAATTTAACTTTGTGATTGTGGCGCCCTGTTTTTTCTGATCTATTAATCAGGATTCTGTGGTTGTTTGTATAAAGGTTTTGGAGTGACCTCATGACAGGGGCTTGCCTACACTTGTTTGATATTATTTCACCATCCACTCGTATACGGTTTTTGTTTATATTTAGATTTGTATTTGCAGTCTGTTCTTTGCAAAATCCTGTATATAACAAAGGCAGCAAAGTTATTATAAGACAGCCGACAAGGCTTTACCCAACAAAGGTGGACATGGCAAGCACGACATTAATGAAAATGTGACAGCATGCCCAGCACAAAGGGCTATTTGACAACAGGTAAATAAAGAGGATATTTTCTATCCTGCCAACTTTCTCATGCATAGTTTTATATCTAATAAAAGGCTTGCCATTGTAAGTCAATGCAGGGATTTATAATTATGAGAAATTAATTGTATTTGGTTTTGTTATTTTGAAGGGCACTTAGAATGACTATATTCTATAATTTTAATTACACCAATTTAATTTTATTTTTAAATTGGACACCCTGGCTCCTTATTGAAGGTACTGCAGATTATAGGATTTTACAGAAAGGCTGAAACTATTAACATTTTACAAAAAAAACAATTAATACTTCTCTATTTTCAGTCCTGAATGTGGCATAGACAGGTAACATTTTGGATACATGTATAATACTGTGGTAGTTATACAAGCCTCGTTTCTGATAAAAGTTCTGATTTAGAAGACTGTACGTATGTGCCTCACATGCGAACAATAATGACAATGTCAACAGCCACTAAGAGTATTTGTGTTAGGTGAAGGTATTAAAGCTGAAAGTAGGTTAAGAGCACATAAATCATCTTTAACCCCTTAGTGACCAGACTGCTTTTCAATTTTCTTACGGTTTGGGACCAGGGCTGTTTTTACATTTCTGCAGTGTGTGTGTTTAGCTGTAATTTTCCTCTTACCCATTTACTGTACCCACATGTTATATAAATTTTTTTAAAAATAAATCGCTGTTTATGAGATATACTTCCGATGAATACATGCATGAATTTTTCTTACACGCACACTTCTGGTCTGTGTGGTCGTCAAGTGGAGAGTGCCTGCCACTTTCTTTAGATCAGAGGAGCTAACAGAAGGGGGTTGCAAACCTCCCTGGCTATTTGATTGACAGCCAGGGGTGTGTTCCCTACTTAATTATAAAAGTGCTGATTTCTTACAGAAATCAGCAATTTTATAAACTGCGGTTAAACTATGATACTCCTCAACCATAAAGCACTCCAGCATGTTTGGGGTGTGGAAGGGTCCTTTAATGAAAAATCTCCCTTTCCCACAAATAATGATAATGAGCAGAAATTGAAAACAGATTGCCTCTTCAAGTTAGATAGTTAATTACCTACACTGACTGGCATTGACTAAAAAGACAAGACAGCACAAAACTAACAAGAAGAAACAAAAATACACATTTATAAATTTTCTATATATATTTATAACAAATCAATATACCTGTGGATCCACCAACCATCCGTGATATAGGGGTATATCAAGAAGATCAAACACAATGCACTCTGGGGTGTACTCAAACACACTCACACCAGTGAACTTCACATTGACGTCAAGCCCCGTCTGCAGTTTGTGTAGGATAGCCATTGCATCACTCATATTCTGAAAAGAAAAAAATTATTCATATAGTGAAATGAAAATCAAAGATCTGTAGAAAAGATAAAAGATCTCCTGTGCTGCCGCTATAGGACAGGAAAATTATAATCTTATAATCTTTATTGAACTACCAGAATTCCTGTATACTACATACATACATACATATATATCTATATATCTCTATCTCAGAAATGACCGCACTCCAAGGACTTTATAGAGATTTTCAAATAAAATTTAACTTTTATTCAATCCATTTAAAAAGTCAATGGTGTTATGGTGGGGAAAAATTGTGATTGAAAACCCCTTCCACTTGAAGTCTGTGGATAATTAATACAATGTTAAAAAAAAATCTGCACACTAGTCAAGCCATAAGACTTGCTTTTCAAACAGAAATCCCATAACTGCAGCGATGTTACAACCGCAAAGGATTCTGGTTGGGCATATGCAAATTAGTTTAACAAAGAAGCAAGCAAGTCTTATGGCTTGATTGGTGTGCAGATTTTTGTTCAACATTGTATTAATTATCCACAGACTTCAGGTGGAAGGGGTTTTCAATCACAATTTTTCCCCACCATAACCTATTTGGATTTTGCTTCCCAAGCACTACCAAGCCTCAATAAGCAAACCAGTAACCAACCTCATGCTGACTAGTTGCATTAACAACGAAACAGCTGTCCATGAGTGGCTCACTGGTTTTGCATCTTTTCCTATATTGTGTTTCAAGCTGTTGTATACAGCGCAAACAGATTAACCCCTTAAGGACACGTGACATGTCATGATTCCCTTTTATTCCAGACGTTTGGTCCTTAAGGGGTTAAAAGGAATCCATGTTTAAAATGGAATGAGACAAAAATGTGATCCTTTGTTAAACTAATTTGCATATGCCCACCCAGAATCCTTTGCGGTTGTGACATCGCTGTAGTTATGGGATTTCTGTGGGAAAAGCAACTTTTATGGCTTGACTGGTGTGCGGATTTTTGTTTAACTTTGTATTAATTATGTGTGTGTATATATATATATATATATATACACACACACACAAGCATAACGGCTTAAATGTTTCATGTTTCTGACCTAAGAGAACTTGGCAATTAAAATGACATGGCTACATGCAAATAATAATATAAGAAAGGGGTTTTCAAATCATTGTGAATAAAATATCCCCTTTCAATTAGAACAAATATTACTTAAAACGTAACTCAATCATACTAAAGAATGAAAAACTGAAAAAAGAACTATCAATATATTTCTATTTTACCAGCATGTTAATGTGCAGTTTTGAAGTTGGAATAATATTAAAAAAATAAATAAATAAAAAGGGTTACTATTTGTGCACTAACCATACTAGTCTATATGTCCAAAATAATTGTGTCCTTAGCCATAGCATGTCCCATAAAACACATATTTAAGGACACAACCATGTTTTATTTGAGATCACAATCCGGATTGGTTATATTCACCACTCCTGAATTTATGGCTGAATAAGAACGTATTGAATGCCCTAAGGCAGCAATGGAATGGTTTCTGCAAAATGTTTCTAGAATTTTTATAACAACTTAAAATGCAATCAAATTACTTATGCAACAGGTTATATCACAACATTTCTTTTATTAAAGCTTTCTCAGATTGCTTTGGAGCAGTTCGGGGGATACCAAAAAAAAAAAATCATATAATGAGCCTAACTTCTGCTTTTCAGTCAAAGAACTCGTCCTCAAGGGTTTGACAGTAAAGTGACTGATAATTGTTAAAAGGGAAATTATAGTGCCAGGAAAACATATATAATCCCTTCTATCACTTACCAGGCTCAAGCTCCGATGTCCCTCGGCGATGGCTTGGGTCTGCCTTCACACCAGCCGGCAGGGAAACCTAATGCGCAGCAATGGCCACGCTCGCATTAGGACTTCCCCATAGCAAAAAATTATTCCATGCTTTCCTGTGGGGATTTCGGTGACGCTGGAAGTCCTCATGCATAGCGTGAATACGTCCAGCGTCATTTAGGCAACCAAATGTCGCCTAAAGACCCAGAAGTCCCGCTACAATCTATCCAACCATTATAAATAGGCTACATCATAGAACTGAAAATACTACATTTAGAATACTTGTTAAAATAATATGCCATCATGGGGGCAATTTTCTTCCTTTGGGTAACATGTTCTCTCAAAGGCAACATAGGAAATAACTGTCAATTTTACAAGTTGAAAAGGGCATCTAATATTTTGCCGTGTGACTTCCTGAAAAAAATCTGTACATGGGAAAACTGTTATATTAGTGAGACAATGTCAAATGAAAATGGAGACTTGTTTGCACTTACACGTATCGGAATTATAAAGTTTCCTTTAAAAAGGAGTGTTAAAGGTATACTATAGTGCTAGCATTACACTAATATAGTAAGAATTAAAATACTCTTCCTGTACTAACCTGATTCCGGCATCAAGGTCCGTGGTGGGGATTGACTTACACTGGATGTCCTCATGCAGAGGATTGACAGCCACTAGAGGCAGTCTTAACCCTCAGCAACTGCATTAATTACCATTGCATGGTTAGGGGGACAGGGACAGTGCACCAAGACCACTTCAATGAGCTGAAGTGGTGTGGGTGCCCCTTGAGGAAAGAGTGCCCCTGGGAGCCTCCAGGCATCATAACTTTATTTGGATGAAGTTGTGTTGGTGCCAGGAGTGCCCTTTTAATATGTGAATAGCAAATTCCGCTCCCTGTAAGTTATGTACTTGAAATCCAGTCAGGCCTATCAACATATTGAACGGTCACAGTAAAAAAGGGGTTTCTCACATAGACTGCTACTGTATGGGTGTAGTAAAAAGATAATTATCTATAGTTTTGCAGTGGAGAACACAGTCCTGCATTGCACATATTGGGGTTTTACATTTTAAAATATCCAAATCAAATCATTTGCATTGTCAATGTATGCAATGTCAGAACTTTAAGCACTCTAAAAAGCATAATGACTTATATAAACAACAGAAATTATTATTTAAAGAAATCCTTGCAGGTACAAGTCCATCCCCCCAACTCACATACTTTATTCATAGAGGTAACCTATAACTCCCATTCTAGCGCTTGAACTAGAGCTCAAAATGCTGCACAGAAGGAGTTTTCCAGGAGCCATGGTTTGATCTGTTGGCTAATTACAGATAAACACATATGCAATTAAACGTCAGTTTAAGCTACTGGAGCATACTAATGGTATTGCATAGGCACAGCAGTAATAACAAAATAAGTGTAAGGCCAGAGAAGCTTTGACCGCATTCTCTTTAACTTCAAAGGATGCAATGTCTCACCAGAATTCATGCACACCTCTCATGGGAATTGCCAGATGCTGACTGAACGTTTATGGTAGAGACAGCCACGGGTGCAAATTGTCTGCTAACTACAGGTTATAACGGACCTAAAGGGATTATACCAACCCTGCTGATACTTACTTGACATTCTCAAGCGCTAGGAGCCTACTAATTGGTTGATGTGTAGGACTGAATTCCAAGTGGACAGTTCCAGTTGGAATTCCTATTCTCCCCCCATTCATTTTCTACCAAAGGGACTGTGATATTGGGAGACTTTGAAAAACAATACAAGTAATGAATCCTGCCTCCACAACTTACATTAACCAACTGGAAGTCCATGAAGTTGCCTAGGTGGGGCAAGTACCTGCCTTAACTAAAACTTTGGCCAAAAGGTACAAAGATCAGGAACAATCATTTTTTCTGTAAAACAAATATAATAAAATGACAACCAAAATAGAGTGCTGTACTACTTTAATAAATACAATTATTGATTAGGAATATAGTTTGGATTTTTATTAAATCAAGGCAATTAAGTATCACTAGATACCAGAAAAGAGAGAAAGATAATCAATCATTTATTCATCACCTGCTCATAGTTGAGACGCTGAACTTCAGAAATTTCTTTTGGTTTAGCATCTAGTATATAGTCTCCTGGAAAGAGGAAGAATATTTATATTAAAGAGAGGGAAAAAAATGGATATATACAGACAATGTTGGATATTTTCCCAAATGATCACTACATGCAATGCAGACCATGTTCTACATAGAAATGTAAAATAAAGGAGACATAATCTCAAGTAAAATAGAGCTAAGTGTATGAATACCGACGGCAACTGAAATTTGAATAATATATTCATATGACTTAGCTTGTAAAAGTGGCAGAACTACATAGAAACATGAATCTATATAAAACCCAGTTTCAGAACAGAAAGAATAAACTTTGCATTAGAAAAGAAAAAAAAGGGGGGGCAATTGAAAAACCTTTTGGAACGAAAAATCGGAACAATAAAAGCTATGTATCCCTCAGCTATGCAATAACACAATAATTTACAAATGATCTTGAAATAGGCATTACAAGTCATGTTCAGTGTTTGAAGATGACACAAAACTCTTTATTCAGATTGGGGGACTAGGCACTTAAATAGCAGCTTAAAATTTAATGTAGAAAAATGCAAAGTTATGCACTTTGGGGTAAAATAAATGCACAAGCAACTTATACCCTAAATGACGTAACACAAGAACGATTTGGGAATTGTTATAATCATCACAATGTGCAGTCAATCAGCAGTTGCTAAGTTATTGCCATGCATAAAATTTTTTTTTTTTTTTTTATATATATATATTGTACATATACATACAAACAGTAAGTAAAAACAGTAAGTATCTTTTGCCATGCACTCTCACTATGCTCATAGAGCACTGCAAAGAAGTATAACATAAATGAACAGAGTTATCCTATACAGAGAATTAACAGCTAATTCATGGTGAAGTTCAAATTTAAAGGGACACCGTAGGCACTGTATCTGCTTCATCTCATTAAACTGGTTATAGTGTCTGGAGTCTTCTGGTACCATCATTTCTATCAGCATTAAACAGTTTTTAAAGTTTTAATGCTAAACAAGAGTCCCCGGCAATCCATCCCCTCTGTGCTGCTTTGGCTAATAAGGAAGTATTAGCCTGAGCAGAAATGGGCAGCTGTGATTGGCTGAGAGTGTCAGCTGACTGCTTTTACCCTGTCAGAGTTCCAACTGACGGTATGAGTGGGTATGACAACAAGGTGTGTAATCTCTGCCTTAGCTACACATACTGAAGGGACCGTACTGTGGGTGGCCAAGGACTCTTATTTTGTGGCATACTACATGAACATGGTGCAACACTGAATGGAGGGACAGTGCCAGGGTACTCCAGGCACTATAACCAATTCAAAGAGATGAAATGCTTATAGTGACTACAGTGTCCTTTTAAGGCCGAAATAGCAAAACAGAACTGGCCTACATTTTTTACTTCACCCAGTAATTCTCAAGTGACTAAATAGCACTGTTACTTTCTGTAACTCTGCTGTGCCTATCCCACAAGTAGACATCTATGAGGATATCAAATGGTTCTGGGACACAGCTTAGTTATCAGCTGTCTACCATAGAGAACGAACAGCTGTTTTCACCCTCACAAAGTCAGGACAGAATGTACAGCAGTAATTTTGATGCAAAAGTGGAAAATGCAAGTTGGAGACAGAGGTAGAAAGTGTGCCTGTTTCATTTAAAAGTTAAGTGTATAATAAAACAGCATACAGCTTATATTACAATTACTTATTATTCTCAATAAAGTGGTCTGAGAGCAGTGTCCCTGGCCTTTTAACCTGCAATGTGAAACACTACATTTTTTTTTTAGAAACTGCACTGTTTAGATACTGACAACCATGAGAGGAGTTTCCACTTCCACTGATTCAATGCTTTCCTATGAGGAAGTTTGAAGGCCTCTATGATGAGCATTGTATTTGATCCTCCATGACGTTGTAGAAAGCAGAGATAAGCAGCACAAAGTGAGCCTCAGTGCTGGATAAGGGTAGGTAAATCTTTCATTTAAAAAAAATGTAAATGCACTCGGGCTTTTCCTTTATCTGCCTTCTCTGCATGCAGCGTGCCGTGGTGCCCTCACAGAGTAATATCTGAAACCATTTTAGAACATTTTGCCAACTTACCTGACTGGGCTGTATATTTATGGTGCTTAAAGGACCACTCTAGGCACCCAGACCACTTCAGCTTAATGGTAAAGGTAAAAAATTAAAACCAATAGATGGTAGGAATACACCTAAATGTGAGTTCTCTACTATGTGTAACTGTTTTATGCTATGTCAAGTATCCTTTTTTAAAGATTGATACAAAGTAGCCGAGCAGACACAAAGACAGAGGATTAAATTTGATCCGTTATCAGCATAAACCCTCACACAGCGTGGGAATATCCTTATACTAAGACTATTTATTTGGATATATCTCCACTCTGACACTTGCACTGGACATTGTATAAGTATATTTTATGATCAAACTTTAGAGCATTTTTTATCTCTGTCCCTATACTTGTAAATAAGGGGTTGGTCTGCTAAGCGCTGATACTATTGATATATATTTATAAAGTCTATTTACTTTAGCTAAATAAAGCCATTTTAGTGTATAGATCATTCTCCTGCAATTTCACTGCTCAATTCACTGTCATTTAGGAGTTAAATCACTTTGTTTCTGTTTATGCAGCCCTAGCCACACCTCCCCTGGCTATGATTGACAGAGCCTGCATGAAAAAAAAACTGGGTTCACTTTCAAACAGATGTAATTTACCTTAAATAATTGTATCTCAATCTCTAAATTGAACTTTAATAACATACAGGAGGCTCTTGCAGGGTCTAGCAAGCTATTAACATAGCAGGGGATAAGAAAATCTTAATTAAACAGAACTTGCAATAAAGAAAGCCTAAATAGGGCTCTCTTTACAGGAAGTGTTTATGGAAGGCTGTGCAAGTCACATGCAGGGAGGTGTGACTAGGGTTCATAAACAAAGGGATTTAACTCCTAAATGGCAGAGGATTGAGCAGTGAGGCTGCACGGGCATGTTCTATACACCAAAACTGCTTCATTAAGCTAAAGTTGTTCAGGTGACTATAGTGTCCCTTTAATTTACCTTAAAGGAAAATTAAGATGTAGTTGTTCTGATGGGTATAGTATCCTTCTAACACCTGCTTTAAAAATAAACCATTTTTTATGATCACTCTTTAAAATCAATATGTAGCTTTTGCTCACTGATTTAGACTATTCCCATTACAAGCTATTAGACCTATTCATAAACCAGTAATAACTTTATAAAGTTAGCACACAGAGGACAAGTAACTTCCAGGCAGTATTTTTTCCCCAAAATGCACTCTATCTAAAGCAGTTACTCGAAAACTCTATAATCCGTGAACCGAGAAGCCTTCTATTGTTCTCTAATGTACTCATAATGAGGAGGAATGAGCACAGTTAAGTGTACTCATTACAGTAGAACAGTTATTAAAAAAACAATACATGCAATGTATTTCCATTATCATCACTTGTATAAGAGAATGAACTCAGTAACCCAAAAAAGTTTACTGTAGAACAGGCAATAACTTAGAATCGCAGAACACTGTGTGATGATAGCAAGCTAATCATGACAGTAATTAAACTGGGAGTTACAGAGAACCAACAGGAAGGATTTCAAAAATGTATGTTAAAACAGTTTGCAGGAAAAACACTTGAATTTGGCTATTTTTGCATCTTATTATAAGCCTAATTGCTTACCAAGCATATGGCATGCTTGTATAGTGACAACATTTTGTAAGGGGTGCCTGAGATCGGTCACCCTTTCAAAATACACCACTGGGGAGTACGGCAGCACTGTAACATGGCTGTGTAATACAAATGCAAGAGAATAGGCAGTGTTTACATTGCTGCCTAGGGAGACCTCCAGTGTCAGTCACTAGAAGTGCTTCCTGGGTCAGATGTTCAGCGTCTATATGCTCTGTATGGAGACGCTGAACTTTCCACATTGATTCAATGCACCTCTATGAAGAGATGTTGATTGGCCAGCGTGGCGTTTGGCTCTGCCCCCCTCCCCCACGGCTCAGATAATTTGAATTGACCATCTCAGTCAATCCAATGCTTTCTCTTATGAAAGCATTGGACTGACTGAGATAGTCAATTCTGATGCTCTTAGCCAAGAAGGTAGGGTGGAGCAAGCTGGCATAATGGTAATATTTAACACTATTAAAAAGCGTTAAGAGGGGGGGGGGAAATGGGGGGTACCCAAGTAATGTTTGTATTCCTGATATAGTGTTCCTTTAAGCTAAAGTTATTTTGTTATCCTTTTAACATTTGTAACTGACAAGTTTGACTCATTACTTAGTGCTCTTTTGTACATCCAAGTGAAGCCCTCCCCACCATACAAAAACAGGCTTCCTCAGTGTCCTCAAGTATAGATTCCTCTACATATTAACAGTGATAAATTCATCTTGAAGACTTATGAAAATGATACACAATTGCTATTGTATCAAATCCAAATTTAAAGGGTCTCCCCTGATAACACATTTGTAATGGATTAGAAGCAATTTGTTTTCCATATGGTTTATCCAAACTAAACTTGCGTCCTACATTACTAGGCTCAAACTTATTAGGTATCCATGTGATGCAATCACCAGAACGAAGGCTCTTTACAGCAGAATTCCAAAACACTTTGTTCAAGACTCACATGTTCACCTGAGAATTGTGCTATCTGGGGTATAGAATTTATTAAATAAATTACAAAGTATAAAAAGCTGCTTATTCCGATATCTACTCCATCATGACTTTGTATCCTTATTTGGATTTAACATGCACTTCTTGCTTAATCTCAAATATAGAGGAAATAATTACACTTCTATTGTGTTTACTTAAACCCTATTTAATTTAAATACACTTTCTAAAATGGTGCCAGATCTTTTTTTCATAGTTTTCACAACATTTTCCAGTTCAGAAGACTACCGGATGAAAGAATACTTTATTGGAAAAGATGGCGTAAAGATGGCTAAATATGTTGCTAAAAAAATTACTTTGCGCAAAAGAAGCACTAGATGGAAAACTTGATTTTCAGTGTTTTATTTAATTGTGTATTTTCCAGAAGAATAAAAACCTGTTCATACCTTTCTTTACCTATTGGTGCCACTATAGAGGCATTCACAACACATTAACATCATCTACAACATTCTTATGCAGTGTGGTGAAAATTGGCTGTTTATTGAATTGATTAAAAAGAACACAATACAAACATGCACTCAGACACTGTCTGCGCAGTGGACAGGTGAGTTTACTCACATTTTTTCCTCTCAGTGCGGCAGTCCCGCCTCCATGGCAGAGATAACCAATCTTGATGATCTCAATCAATTCAATGCCTTCCCCTAAGAAAGCATTGGGAGGCTATTGCACATGTGCGGCAAAACGCTGCGCCGGTCAGCATCTCCTTGTAGAGATGCCTTGAATCAATGCATCTCTATGGGGAACATTCAGCGCCTCCACGCAGAGCATGGAGAAACTGAACATAGAGAAGCACCTCTAGTGGCTGTCTGAGAGACTGTTACTAGTGGAATAAGTAGCCAGCAATGTAAACATTTCATTTTCTCTGAAAACAGTGTTTAGAGTGCTAAGGTTACAGATACACGCGATAGCCACCAGAACCACTACATTAAGCTGCCTCTAAAAAAAAATCATGAAGTTTTTATTTTTCCTTTAAACTTTTTATTCAAATACAATGAAAATGAACCATTGTTTTCTAGAAGGATATAGTTTAAGCACACCATGTCTTCGGGCACTGAAGGTGTAATCTGAAAGCTTCAGCTATTTCAAGCAACTGTGTGCAGGGAGACGTGACCTCCTTGAACCTAACCTACGCAACACAAATTGTTATGGTCCTTGGAGCACCACTCTAATCTATAAAAATCCCTGAGTGTATTGATTAAATATTACTCTTACCAGCAATGTTTTAATGCACTCGACTGAATCCATAAAGTATTATGGGATAGTATGAGATATTATGGGATTCGGGGATATTTTTAATTGGTGGGGTAACAGCTTCTCGATCCAAGGAAATATCTAAATACCATTGTGGGGTCAAGAACGCTTTTCCCCCTAGTTTGTTGCAAAATTGAAAGTGTTTCAAACAGTGTTTTTCGCCTTCTTTTGGATCAACAGCAAAAAATAGATGTGAAGAAGGCTGAACTGGATGTACACATGCCTCTTTTAGCTATGTAAGTATGTATATAAAAGTCATAGTGCCGTGGAATCACTATATATATGAAAGCAATGAGTGGGGGTCAAATTCATGAACTTTGCACTTGAAAAACAGACCGCCCTCTTCAATTTGACAACAGCACCAGTATGATTTACCGAAATATTACAAATATATGTTTTCTAGATATTTGGATAGTGCAATCTAAGCTCATTAATAGGGCCACATTTTTATTTTTATTGGCAGTAGCCAACTAAATGAAGCAATGGAAACACACGTGACTTTTGGGAAAAAAATTTTTAAAAAATTATAAAACGCCAAAAAACAAACAAAAAAAAAAGTTAATGAGGTAACACCGATAATACTGCAAAGGAAATATACTGCACTGATCATTAGGATAGTCAATGAACTAGAATAGGTTCCTCTGTAAGTAAAATAAAGTTTAAATCTGTTTGAAATGTAAGTGGGTCACTGCACAAGCTATTACACTTTTACTGTTTTCCCTACACTTTAATATATTCAAGACCAATTCAAGGCCACATAAATAAAAAGACCACACATTCCAAATGTCAATCTATGCACCATGACAAATGTTGATTATTATCAGAGTGCCCAATAACTAAAATAATTTGCAGAAGTCGTATTGCTTCCCATGCGCTCAATTATTTGGTTCCTGTCCAATAACCAAATAGGACAGCAGGTCCTTTGCATTTGGTTTTACACCTGGCTCAAAGGGAGTTCAGCCTCTCAATTGGATAGCTCCAGGATACAGCCTTGTGCAAAGGGGTCACCTTGGATCTAATCCCTTTAATAAAAAGTGGACACTACTACTGTGCCTCCTCTCGGGGTAGCAGGAATTTGCCCGTATTAAACCCTTTTCTATCATTGACTGCTAGAATACCTAGTCCTATTACAGATAAAAAATAAAATTAAAGGGGGGCGGGGCCTGACCGCCGACAGGATCAGATGTGCTCTGTCTGAGCTCCCGCTCCAGGGCCCAAAAATCGGAGCAAACTGGGGGCCAACCGCAAACTTAGTGCCACAACGGTGACTACTCCGACCCCCAACCACGGTGGTACGCGGGGATAAAGCCCAAGACCCTGCCCAGCACCGACAGAAACCCGACAAAGGCCTAGATCTCGCTGGAGCTTGAGCCGGGACGAGGCGACCCCCTCTGGACCAGGGGAGTCATCCCGGTCTGCAAGGGCACCACACACCACCCTAAGCTGGGCCCAAACAACCCCCCTGGCGAGAAAAATCCACTGGGCAAAGCTCCACAAGATGGCCGCCATGCCAGCCATGTGCGCAAAAAAGCCTGTAAGATCGAACTCCTTGAGGAGAAGCACACCCAGCACCATCAGACCACCATGGCAGCCCGCCCCCGGGCTATGCTGGCGGACTACACTGGGCAAATCAAGGTACAGGCCAGGGGCATCAATCAAGCAGGGAGAAATGGGGCACACACAAAGCGGAACCCCACTGACCAAACCTTATAAAGCATTCCCCCAAAGACCAATATATCCTAGAACTACATGCCCTGATGAAACAAGCCAGAGCGACAAACGACAAGCCACTCACCCTCCACCCAACCAGAAACAACCTATACCACCAGCCTGGACCTAAGCCACCATAACCACCGCCACAGCCCAACGAAACGGTGCAGGAAGACGCCACCGCGGCACAAGAGGCGCCTACCAAGCACCGGAGTGGGCTGACACTACAGACGGGGAACCCGGGGACTGCACCTCGAGATACCAGCCTTGTTTCACGATGGCGCTGGGACGCGCACTTGCTGGGCACACACAACGAGAAGCTCAAATGAACTAACATGATTCAGATGGGCTAGTCTCAGGACTTCACGCTTAGTGTTTGACCTACTTACCCAACTAACCACGACTGGAAATACACACAGACAGTTAAGCTTAACGTGTTCACTGCATGCCATTCCACTCATTCATTGTATAAGCACCCTAACTAAACTACTAATCTCATAAAGGCGACTGTACACATGCTTTAGTTTAACATAGTGACTCCACAGTGACACAGAAAATATCTTGATAATTAAGCGACGACACTCTACATAAACTATTTTTAAGCCACTGTTATTAAATCGACAAAATAATTCATTATGACAAACATAGTTACCCGGCTTGTACCCAGCTTGTATTACTAACCAAAAATTGTGCATATAACCTGAATGCTGTACAGCAGTTAACGAATATGTGTTTTGTTTTTTTTCAACTGTTTGCAAATGCTGCTGTGACATTGTTGACATACGAATGTTTTTTCACGCACAGCAAAAATAAAGAATTTAAAAAATAAATAAATAAAATTAAAAATGTTAAATGATGGATCTGCCCATGGTTTGTAATAATTTAATTAAGTTTTTATGCATTAACCATCTTTGTTCTCTTCCTTGCCAAAAGGTCATCCTTTTAAAATTTCCCCTGGCTTTGATGTCAATATAGGGACCTCTCTGTGTTAAAGGACCACTCTAGGCACCCAGACCACTTCAGCTTAATGAAGTGGTCTGGGTGCCAGGTCCTTCTAGGGTTAACCCATTTTTTCATAATTATAGCAGTTTCAGAGAAACTGCTATAATTATGAATGGGTTAAGCCTTCCCCCAAAGCCTCTAGTGGCTGTCTCATTGACGGCCACTAGAGGCGCTTGCGTGCTTCTCACTGTGATTTTCACAGTGAGAGCACGCAAGCGTCCATAGGAAAGCATTGATAATGCTTTCCTATGCGACCGGCTGAATGCGCGCAGCTCTTGCCGCGCGTGCGCATTCAGCCGACGGGGAGGAGAGCTCTCCACCCAGCGCTGGAAAAAGGTAAGTTTTTACCCCTTTTCCCCTTCCAGAGCTGGGCGGGAGGGGGACCCTGAGGGTGGGGGCACCCTCAGGGCACTATAGTGCCAGGAAAACGAGTATGTTTTCCTGGCACTATAGTGGTCCTTTAATCACTCTTGAGCCCTCTGGCTTCTACTTGCAGTCTGTGCATGTAGCTAAATTTCCATGCTTAGCTTGGACTTTCTTATTGCTCCAGAACAATAGTGGGTGAAGTTAAGTCAGCTCTTTAGAGGATGTCCGCTAGCAGCTCATTTGAGTAGTGGAATTGTGGTACATACACAACTGCTAGTTAATGAAGACTCTTCCTGGTTTGGGAAAGATTGAAAGCAACATTCCTTTACAGACTAAAATGTCAGAAGGTGCAGAGGAACATTTATAAAATCCATTGAGTACTCCACACGACTATGTGCATCCACATTGATCTGTGATTTTAATGCACTAAAAAAAGACCATTCATTTGTATTTGGCCACTTGCCAGTTCAAATGACGCCAGTCCTCTCTTGGAAGCCCATAGATTGTACAATGTCCTTTCCTAATAGGAGAAATAAAGAATAAAAACTTACCTGTGAACTCTCACCGAGGTCAAGTTCTCCCTGCCACCCAATCCACCTCTGGTTACATCACTCCACCTCACTGGATGGAAAAAGGACGTCTCAGAGCCTGGGCTGAGATGAGAGACTTATGGGACATAGGGGAGTGCTAATGACATATGCCTAATATGCACAGAATTAATAGACCTGCTAAAGGAGTTACACAAAGTTCTTTAACTTTAGAGCTGCAGCATTTTGTGAAAAGCTGCACATAAAGACTCCAATGACGTTGCCTACTTCAAATCATATTGTATAACCCTTTAACTAGAAGCTTAGGGATAGGGACTTACAATAGCATTAGAAATATAGCTTTGTATTCCTAACATTATAGTGTTCATTAAAACAGTCATTGCCCCACAACTCTTGTTGGATTTTGATTCTCTAGTCATTAAAGAGATACTATAGGCACCAAATCAACTTTAGGTTAAAGGAACACTATAGGGTCAGGAACACAAAAGTATTCCTGACCCTATAGTGTTAAAACCACTATCTTGTCCTCCTTGCCTCCCCAAATATAATAAAATCTTACTTGTATACTTGTATTCAAGTCTGCAGCTTCTGGCTCTGCCTCTGATCTGCCTGCTTGGCTGACATCATCAGAAGTGTTGTTCTGACCCAATCACAATGCTTTCCCATAGGATTGGCTGAGATTGTCAAGGAGGCAGATCAGGGGCAGAACCAAACACAGCTCTGGCCAATCAGCATCTCCTCAGAGTTGTATTGAATCAATGCATTTAAATGAGTAAAGTTCAGTGTATGCATGCAGAGGGTGGAGACACTGACAGTCAGCATTGCACAATGTGCAGCACTGCCCCATCTGAGGCGTGGCCAGTGGAGTTATCCCTAGAAAGTAATGTAAACATCTTTTTCTCTGAAAAGACAGTGTTTACTGCAAAAAGCCTGAATGAAATGATTATACTCACCAGACAGAATATAATAAGCTGTAGTTGTTCTGGTGACTGTAGTGTCCCTTTAATGAAGCAGTTTGGGTGTATAAATCATGACCCTGCAGTCTCACTGCTCAATTATCTGCCATTTATGAGTTAAATTAAGATTGTTCTGTTTATGTAGTCCTAGCAACACCTCCACTAGCAGTCTCCATTAAATAAATAGTTTTTTTTAATGTTTAATTTTATTTCTTTTAATTCTTTATTTTTGTAGTGCATACGATACAACAACGTGCATGGGGTACCCCAACGGTATGTTCTTGCGTGCACAATTTTATGTTTGATATACAGCTTTATAAGCTTATTCGCGATGTATTGTCTATGAAATATAATGCTGCAACAAACATCTATAGATCGGATAAAATGTGTATAACACGGATATGACTGCTTAGATATGAACCATACGTTAAGTTACATGCTAGCTAAGTCACTACTGTGGTTGCTTGTTTAGTTGCGGTTTGGTTACATGTTATTTGTTTAGCTTGAAATAATAGTTGTCCGGTTACATTCTGAGGGGACAGGAGTAGTTCTGAGGGGACAGAGACTGCAGAGGCACACTGCCTGTCATCGTGCCACGATGCGCTCCAGTAGGTTGGTTAAAGTTTAAATTTTTTTATCAGATGTTGACTTGATTAAGAACTTTTTATCTCCTGCTCTGTTTATTGAACTTTAAGCACACACAAGAGGTTCCCTACAGGGTCTAGAAACCTATTAAAGCAGGAAATAATTAATTCTAAATTAAACAGACTGTGCAAAACAGGAACCTAAAATATCTAGGTTCCTTTTCAGAAAGTGTTTTAGAAGGCTGTGCAAGGGAGGTGTGGCTAGGGCTGCATAAACAAAGCAATTTAACTCCTAAATGGCAGAGAATTGAGCAGTGAGAATGCATGAACATAATGTATACATCAAAACTGCTTCATTAAGCTAAAGTTCTTTTAGTGCCTATATTGTCCCTTTAAGGCCTGCTAAGTTGATACAAAGCACAATGAAAATACACGTATTTTAACTGTAAGATTACACGTAGTTTAACTGTAAGATTAAAATGCAATAAATGACAATTTTCTCTTTATGATTTATGGTTCACATTTATGCAGTTTTTAAAAGAAATGTAATGGCATAAAATATGTTAAAGACTGAAAAGGTGTTTTCCTGCTGTTAGTTGTAGACCGATAACATCACACTCAGAGCAGAGAGGCACTTTAGACTTCAATGCAGCATAGATTGTAGATTTGATTTCAGTCTGGTGTTTTCTGACAGAAACAAACTCCATGAATCAAAGTCAGCTGTAACTTCTGTTCAACGGAATTTACAACTGTGTAAAAGGAAGAGGAATTGGTCCTAAACTACAGAAGGCAGTTTATAACATGTAAGTACACATTAAATAATGTCTATGTAAACCCTTCAGAGTATAAACCTTTTTATTTTCACACATTTTGCCATGAAATATAATACACAAAAGCCTCGCTCACCCTCTTTTATACTTTAGCTAGGATTACTAGCCTGTAGATGAACACGTTTCTGCCAAAAGCCACTGGTTACTGATATAATGAATCATAAAATAAACACTTACTCCTGTGATTCTCAGGAGATATAGATGGAGAGGAAGTCCTTGTGCATCCTTGTTAGATAGGAAACCTCAAAATGGGAACAAAAACAGAAGAAACAGGGAAGCAAAGCTAACCCTGGTGTAGAAATCCTTGATATAATGGATGATCAAATATAAATGACAATTGGCTTCTCACCTTGTCAGGAGCCAGATACCAGGCTCCAAGTATGCAGATGTAGTGTCAAATATAGAGTGACACAGCCCTTCTTTGTAGCAGCATGAATGTATCACTAATCAACTTGAATAAAAAATGTAACATTTATTGTAAATATAATTTAAAAACAATAAAATCAATATACTCAAGTGATAGTGCTTGGTCCAAGACGCGTTTCGCCTGTATAGTTCGGCTTTATCAATTGGTAAATACATGCTGCAATTACAAACTTTAAATATCCCACAGTGGTAGCTAATTGGAGAATGGCGTCCGTGATACATCCAATCACGGAGCTCATGTTGGTGGGAGTGTGAGGGTTCAGCTGTCAGTAATGTTTCCGACATCGTGACGTCATCACGCACGACGGCTCGTGCGCGTGACGTCATTCGCGGAAGTGAAATTCTCCCGATAGTCCGTCCCACACTGATGACGCCTTCACAGGGTGCCCAACTTATATGCTCGGAATGTCCCCTCCCGCTTCCAATCGTGATGCAGGTGTAGGCTTCCAATCGTATCCGCCATTTCAGTTAGGGGCAACGTAATGGAAATCAATGTCCATAATCGATCCAATGTTAGTCCAGTATCAAAAGATGTTCCTGAATGTTATAGATTCTCCAAAGGATATATTCACAATAGAAAAATAGAAAATGATTGGTATATTGTCCATCATTATAAAATGTAAAAAAATATAACATCCTATATACATACAGTGAATTAATAAATAGATCAAATATATTAATATAGTGAATAAAAAAGTAAATAGAAGGGTGAAATATATAGGGCTTGGAAGGATGACTTTGTATTTTGAAAAAAAAAAATGTATGTATAAAAATATGATCAAAAAATATATACATTTAAAAAATATATATATTAAAAACAGAGACTATAAAAAATGGCAAATTTCAAAGTCATCATTCAGTCCGTGAGGTTGCATTAAAAACTTGCATCTAAAAAACTTAGACCAAGTGAACAGAATTTAAATTCAAAAGAGAGACAAGCGCTTAAGCAATTAAGAGAGGACCAAACTATCGTTATAAAACCAGCCGATAAGGGGGGAGGAGTGGTCATTTTAGATGTGGATGATTATAACCAGGACATTTCTAGATTATTAAGTGATCAACAAACATACCAAACTCTCAATAAGGATCCCACGACAGAGATTAAAAATACTTATTATAGGTTAATTGAGAAGGGAAAAATGGAAGATGTTTTGAATTCAAGGGAATATAAATTCCTAAAAGTGCAGTATCCCAAAATTCCGGTCTTTTATTATCTCCCCAAGATCCATAAGGATAAAGATAAAGATAAACCACCCGGTAGACCTATTGTCTCTGGGATAGGATCTATCTCGAGCAGGTTGTCACAATATATTGACAAATGTTTACAGCCCATTGTCAGCACCTGCCCAAGCTATTTGAGAGATACCATCAATATTTTACAAATTATCCAACAGATCACTTGGGATACAGATTACTATCTTGTGACATCGGACGTCAGTTCATTATATACGATTATTTCCCATACTCAGGGATGTAGAGCAACAAGGCACTTTTTGGAACATTCTAAGAAATTTTCCGTGAATCAGGTCAATTTTATCATTGAAGGGATAGAGTGGATTTTAAAGAATAACTATTTTTGGTTCGGCGACCAGTTTTACTTGCAAATATGTGGAACGGCGATGGGGACGAGGTTTGCGCCCAGTTATGCGAACCTGTTCATGTCACACTGGGAACAGGAGTTTATTTATAATAATCATAGCTGGGACGCAAACCTCGTTACCTATCGCCGTTACATTGATATATTTTTCATTTGGAAGGGCGATGAATCGTCTCTTAATACCTTTTTAACCCATCTCAATACGAATGATTGGGGAATCAAACTCACTAGCCATTTTAGTAAAACCTCAGTTGAATTTTTGGACCTTAATATATATGTGGAAGAGAGTATTCTTAAGTCTTGCACTTTCTTTAAAAAGGTGGACGTCAACAGCTATATAGGGGAGAAGAGTTGCCATTTCTCCCCTTGGCTGTTGAACGCCCCCAAAGCACAGTTGTTAAGAATTAAACGTAATTGCACGGATGGTGCAAAATTTCAGGAACAATCCACTAAAATACTCAATGATTTTAGAGAGAAGGGATATAAGAATGAATTGTTAGTGAAAGCCTATGAGGAAGTAGAAGTGAAAAATAGAAATGATTTACTTGTATATAAAGATAAAAGAACGGACACACAATATCAGAGTTTCAATTTTATTTGTGATTTTAATTGCAACAGTAAACAACTTAAGAAAATAATTAGTAAGTATTGGCCAATTTTAAAAAATGATCCTGCCCTTCATTTTTTACTTCCCGATACACCTACCATCACATACAGAGGTGCACAAAATCTAAGCAGTAGTTTAGTGCATAACCACTTACCACTGCAAAAAAATACTGTCAATACATCCTTTTTTAATGAGACAAATGGATTTTATGGGTGCGGTCACTGTGGAGCATGTAAAAATACCCAGAGTCCAAAACGAGTAATAAAAGAATTTGTTCATCCGAGTGATATTGGAAAAAAGTTTAAAATTAAACAATTAATCACCTGTCATTCCACAAGAATTATATATAAAATTACTTGTCCATGTAGGTTAACTTATATAGGAAGAACCATTCGAACACTGAACACAAGAATTCAGGAACACATAAACATAAAAAATGGTTTTCGAAAAACATAGTGTTTCTATGCATTTTAAAGAAAAACATAATTGTGACCCCCGTTTTATGGAATTCATGGGAATTCAAAGAGTCTCTATGAATTGGAGGGGAGGTGATTTAATTAAAAACATAGGACAAGCAGAGATGAAATGGATTTTTAATTTGGATACAATGCAACCTCACGGACTGAATGATGACTTTGAAATTTGCCATTTTTTATAGTCTGTTTTTAATATATATATTTTTTAAAATGTATATATTTTTTGATCATATTTTTATACATACATTTTTTTTTTTTCAAAATACAAAGTCATCCTTCCAAGCCCTATATATTTCACCCTTCTATTTACTTTTTTATTCACTATATTAATATATTTGATCTATTTATTAATTCACTGTATGTATATAGGATGTTATATTTTTTTACATTTTATAATGATGGACAATATACCAATCATTTTCTATTTTTCTATTGTGAATATATCCTTTGGAGAATCTATAACATTCAGGAACATCTTTTGATACTGGACTAACATTGGATCGATTATGGACATTGATTTCCATTACGTTACCCCTAACTGAAATGGCGGATACGATTGGAAGCCTACACCTGCATCACGATTGGAAGCGGGAGGGGACATTCTGAGCATATAAGTTGGGCACCCTGTGAAGGCGTCATCAGTGTGGGACGGACTATCGGGAGAATTTCACTTCCGCGAATGACGTCACGCGCACGAGCCGTCGTGCGTGATGACGTCACGATGTCGGAAACATTACTGACAGCTGAACCCTCACACTCCCACCAACATGAGCTCCGTGATTGGATGTATCACGGACGCCATTCTCCAATTAGCTACCACTGTGGGATATTTAAAGTTTGTAATTGCAGCATGTATTTACCAATTGATAAAGCCGAACTATACAGGCGAAACGCGTCTTGGACCAAGCACTATCACTTGAGTATATTGATTTTATTGTTTTTAAATTATATTTACAATAAATGTTACATTTTTTATTCAAGTTGATTAGTGATACATTCATGCTGCTACAAAGAAGGGCTGTGTCACTCTATATTTGACACTACATCTGCATACTTGGAGCCTGGTATCTGGCTCCTGACAAGGTGAGAAGCCAATTGTCATTTATATTTGATCATCCATTATATCAAGGGTTTCTACACCAGGGTTAGCTTTGCTTCCCTGTTTCTTCTGTTTTTGTTCCCATTTTGAGGTTTCCTATCTAACAAGCATGCACAAGGACTTCCTCTCCATCTATATCTCCTGAGAATCACAGGAGTAAGTGTTTATTTTATTGTTATAGCGCTCCACATCTTGCACTATTTGGTATTAATTTGCACAATAGCGTTTTTTGTACACATCTGATTGTTAATAGGTTTGAGAGTGCCTATCTTTGGTGTGTGAGCTGCTACCACTTTGTTGTGTATTGTATTGCAATTTATTTCTTTTAAGCACCTTTTATCACAAACTCATTCTTTTATTTTTTCATATAATGAATCATGTCTGTAATGTTGCAGAAACTGTAAGCTCATTCCCTACATTTAAACACTACAGTAAGTTTCAATGGGTGGTCATTCCTACAGTCAGGGAGGGGGAAGGAGTAAATATAGCAGAGACCAATAAAGATTGCTATAGCTGTTTTTAGGACTATTTCATTTTACTGATGATACTACAAATGCAGGTATTCTTTTTACATTTTGTTGCCATTTTCATTAAGCTGTACTGCTATTAATCCAATCATTATCCTTGCAAATATCTATAAGCAAGGTATTTGACCATTTGTATTTGTATTCCCCCCCTCCTCACATATATTAGATATGGCAAAAAGATGATTAGTGAAATTACCTATATTTAAAAATCCCAGTATAGGAATTACTTGAGTCCATGCATGTTTTTATAAAGGACAGAGTTAACTCTGAATTACTCTTCTCAAGGAGTTGTGTGAAGTAGAGATTCTGGTTTATGGCATGTACTAAATGGATACCAAAACAACATCAAAATACCACAATAGAAAGTGGTTTATCCTTATGCCTGTAATCAGTAAACTATAAATAGTAAATAAATTGCTGTTCTGAGCAACCTACGCGCGCGCCACAGCGTTGGAGCTTAAAGAGTATATTGGAAGAAACGTTTTGTTACCGTGCAGAAAAAAAAAAGTTCTACATAAACATATTAAAGTTATATTTTGGATGGCATACTGATAAAGTTGGATATATTAAACATAGCATTGGGACTGCAAAGTGATCAGACAATGAGCACCATCAGCTCAACATGAAGCCTCAAGGACCATTAAAAAAATATAAATATATATAGATCTATCTATCTATAAGGCTGCAATATGCTTCATGCCATCACACACGGCTGAGTTTTAACTGCCAGTGATGGCATAGAAGATAACATTTTAGTATTAGTATTTTATTGTTAGCATGGTTAGAGCTCTACTAAATTACACATGGCCTTTGTCTCACGGGACTAAAAGTGGTACTCTTAAATAATAGAAGAGGAGGCAGTTTCAATTGGAAAATTGCAAAACTATTTAAGGAGGACTAGCTGGCTACAACAGCTTTCATTATGAAATATTTGCATTATGCTATTTAGATCTAGTATATATTGCTTATATGAAATATGTGCAATTGTGGAGGATAAATTATAACAAAACAAAAAAATAATAATCACATAATCTGGGACAAGTAAGAATTTTTCACTTGCTACGGATTCAAATTAAAATGCATAGAGTGGAACATACACATAAATGAAAACAGTTCTTCAACACATTGAATTTTTGGCAAATTCTTTATTTCACGTTGAAATGTTTCTCTGTCTGGGAGTGATATGTAAACCCAGTTGTGTGCATTGTGATGTTTTATAATTAGACACATGACACGGAGGTAGGTTGTGACCCTGCAGCATATGGTTTATGGTGCATTATTCATAAGGTATTGCAACCCAATAACCCCAACACACTAATGATGGGCACACAAATGTTTTTACCTCTAGCAGAAACATTGCAGTGCTAACGGAATACTCCTCACTAATTAAAGCTGTGTGTCTGTATACGTTCTTTTTGCATTCCAAGTTCAGTTCTTCAACTTTTCATTGTTTTCCCACAAGGCGGCTAACTAACATGAAGGAAACTCCCTCCGACACTCACCTACATGGAATGATGTACCATGGGAATTGTTCTCTACAATATACAATTCAAAAGATTGTTATCCCTCAACAGCAGGGAACCAAAAAAAAAAAAAAAAGGGTCCTTTCCATCTCTAGAAAACACATCAGTTTTACCCCCTTATCACTCACCAAGATACTCCATGAGCTGCTCCACTGTGATAATTTCCATCATAGGTGGTAATTTCACCTGCAAAACAGAATTGTGTTTTCCATGAAACACATCTCTGCAAATAACATGAAACGTAAGAATAAAAAAAATAAAAATAAAAAACATGTAAACATTGTGCATTACAGTTAAAAGAATTGATGACAAGGTTAGTTCAAAGTTTCATCAATACATTGTGCATGTGAAAAAGCTATATACACACACAAAAACCACAAATTATAGACCGCACACATGGGACTTACTTACATAAAAAAAACTAAAGCAGTTTTATCCCTTTATGAAAAAAAATGACATTTCGGACCTCCTCTTGGGATCTTCGTCAAGGTCATGCTTGAAAAAGGTCCCAATAGGAGGATTGCAACGTTGCTTTTTTGAAAAAGGTATAAGTATGCTTTTATTTTTATTTTATTGTTTGGAACCTAGTCTAATGAGTGCTGTCTATTTGTGGGCTTGCTATATTCTAAGCCATTGGTTCAGCACACGGACACAAAACATAGTGCCGCCATTTGGACATATACATATATGTAATTTCATGTGTGTAAATGCTTGGAGAGGAGAACCGTCTCTTCTGGTCTTTGCCAACTAACTGATTGACTGGTGGTAGAAAGGCCTCATTTGAGACCTCATTGGAAGAAAGACCTAAACAGGTCTTTCTCCCAATCTACATATTTGCTAGGAAACCTGCTGACACAACATAAAGATAGAATGTTATGAAAAAGAGTATAACTTCTAAATAGTCTAACAGGTACTCTTTAAAGGATTAGAACTTTGACAAGGTCAACAAAGGATACATTATGCGGTTTTTTTTCAAGGTATCGTCTCGAATTTTGTCTGAGGACCATGCCCCTCACTGGGTTTGCATAAATACCATTATCATCATTTATTTCTTTATTTCCCCCCATTTTTCTCCCTCATTTTTGCGAGTGATATCTCCTTATTCATAATCCTTCATATTACGCAAAACTATTTCTTCTAAATTTACCTATATCTCTACTTTTATTATTCGATACCCCTGAAAAAAAAAAAAATTCTATCCTTTCCCGCCTCCCTCTAGTGATCCTCCCACCTGTGATCCACCTTCCCCTGTTACACTATTTGCTCCTTTATTCCAGAGAGAGAGAGAAGTCCACTTATTTTTTATATCTGTATTTAGGAAAAAATAAACCAGCAAGAGAAGTGAAAAACGGAGAAGAAAAGAAATAGGTGGACAGCTATAAAAGGTGGCCTAATATAGTATTATTGTCATCATTTGGCCCCCTGTCTCATCTTCCACCGTTTAAATTTATATAGGTATCCATATAGGACTACCCAAGGTTCGAAGCAAGTCTCAGATATGTATTTGATATTGCTAGGTTTGAGCTGTATTTTCTTGTGGGGTACAGTTGCAAACCTCCTGCTCTCCTCTCTGCAAAATCCAGAGCAGAGTAAAGGGAGAGTTGAATCACTGCATCCCTTCCTCCCCTTATTGTTTCCCACAGTATTTTTGTGTGTGTGTGTGTATATATATATATATATATATATATATATATATATATATATATATATATATATATATATATATATATATATATATATATTTTTGTATTTGGTCATCAATATGCCCTTTTACATTTTTATTTGCCATACAAATTGCGTAATAATCTCCTGGATCTTGGGAATATCGGCTGTTTTCCAGTTACGTGCAATAAACAACTTGGCCGCTGTTATAGTATGTAAAATTATTATTTAGGCTTTCTTTTTTAATTCTGGCCAATTCAAGTTTAAAATAATTGATTCTGGTTTAAATTTGAGTTTCATTTTTGTAACATAGTAGATTAATCTTATTATTTCTTTCCAATAATTGGCAATCATTCCGCACTGCCACCATATGTGGATTAAGCTTCCAGTGCCCCTATTACATCTCCAGCAATTTGTAGAAATATCTGGAGAGATCTTTGAAAGTACCTTCGGTGTAAGATACCACCTATTTGACAATTTAAAATGAACATCTGTCAAATTTAAGCAACTGATGTGTTTGTATAGTTTAAGGGAGTACTTCCAATCTTCCTCTTTAATTTGCAAATGTAAGTCTGTCTTCCATTTCCCTATTGCACTTATAGGCTCATCGTTTCTCAGATGATATATTACATCCTCACATTTTCATAATAGATTTTTACAGTTCTTTAGCAGCTCTAATAGTTGGAAGAATGTTTTTGATTTTTCTTTTCTATTCTTGATGGTACAGGTGAGGATGAATCCTTTAAGCCTTACATATTTAAATTTATCTTTGGATGGTATGGCACATTTGTGCCTTAGTACCCAAATTTTGCCAAGCATTTAGATTTGTTTTCTAAATTGTCATCAATCACCGAAATTGGCAGTAGTTCGCTTAATTTATTTTGGAGGCCTAACTTTTTATTTTCTGCCACCAGATTATTAGATCTCTTATTATTGTACTTTTTAGGATTATATCTGTGATTTGATTTTTGTTTATATCTAGCGCCCAGAAGACTGAAGACAGATTTTTTTACTCCAGTGTTATTTTTTCTTGATTATGTTCCATAATTCATTAATCATGGAGCTATTTTGTGTTAGTATTATATAGAATAAGTGACTGGCTTCGTAGTGTTGACGTATCTCTGGGCACCCCAAACCTCCTTTCTTTCCTTCTTTTTGATAATTGTTTCATTTTGACTCTAGGTTTTCTCCCTTCCCATGCAAATTTTATAAATGCTGTGTGTAACATATCTAACCAGCTTTCTGGAAAGTTGAGTGGTATCATCCTCCATAGATAAAACAATTTTCACATTATGTAGGCCTTGAGTATGTTAAATCTTCCTGACCATGAGAAGCCCATTCCTCTCCAGACTAACAAGTTTTTATTTGTCTGTTTTAGTAAGGAAGGAAGTTTGCTTCTACTAAATATTTCAATTCTGGGGTTATGGCTATACCTAAGAAGTTCAGGCTCTTTTTCTTGTTTATTAAACCTAGATTTCCTGTTAAAAAAAACCTGTTACTGTCTTAGCCATATTTTTTGCAATAAAGACTGATTTAGCTATGTTTATTTTGTACCCAGAGACCCTTTGCATACTTATTTATCTGTTAGAAGAACCTGAATCCTCTGTCCCAGAACTCCTAACGATAGTAAGATATCGTCTACATATATGGTCAGTTTAACTTGACCGGATTTTGATGTGTAGCCTTTGATTTTAGGATTTTGCCTTATGGTTATTGCCAGGGGTTCTAAAATCAAGATATATAAAAGGGGAGGCAGGGGACACTCGTGTCTAGTCCCATATTTTATATTAGACCAATGGGAAGAGAATCCTGAGCCCATAACCTTGGCATGTGGAGAGTCATACAAAGCTAAAATCGCTTGCAGTACAGGGCCCTCAATGCCATTTTTTTTTTAACACTAATTATAAAACCCCACCCGACCCTGTCAAATGCCTTTTCAGCGTCTATTGACAGGAGTACGAGTGGGGTTCCACTTCTCTCTATATCAATGATTTCTATAATTCTTCTTAAGCTGTTAACTGATGATCTTCCGGGAATAAAACCAACTCGGTCAGAAGATATGAGAGTTGGGATGATGTTTTTAATTATTTCTGCTAGGATTGATGAAAATATTTTTATATCTGAATTAATCAGACAGATTGAGCGATAATTACTAATTAGCTCTGCATCCTTCTTATTTTTAGGGATAGGAACAATATTTGCTCTTAAAAACTCTCCTGGGCATTTACCCATATTCACTATTTGGTGAGTTCTGATTTTAAGCTCTCATCAATTTATAAAAAATGTTTGTAAAACCATCTGGGCCCAGCAAAGTTTTTATTTTGAGTTTTTCTATTGCTTTAGTTATTTCTGCTTTGGTTGTTGTCTGATTTAATTCTCTCTGCTGCTCTGGTGTAATTTTTGGGATATTGATGTTTTTTTTAAAAGTTTTCCTCATCCTGCTCATTCACGAAGGTTTCGCTGGGCAGGTTGTATAATTTGGTGTAAAATTGTTCAAAAGCGCTGCCTAAATTGGTCTGGTGCTAATAAGTATGTATCTTTATCTTTTATTTTCGCAATTACTCTCCTATTCTTTTCCTTTTTTAATCTGTTAGTCATCATTTCTTCCGGTTTATTGCCTTTGTGATAACACTTGACTCAAAAAAAAATCTAGGTTTCTGGATGCTTTGTTAGCTAGCTGTTCATTAATGCAATTTTCTATGTTCTTAATTTTCTCTGCTGTTTCATATAAAGCTGTCCTTTTAGTTTGGGCTTTAAGCTCATAAAGAATTGTATATAATTTTGCTAGTGACGGAGTTTCTTTCTTTTTAGCTAAAGCTGACATTTTAATTAGGTGGCCTCGCACTACGCTTTTATATGCGCACCAGACTGTCGTCTGATACCTCTCTATTGATGTTTTCAAGAAAGAATAGCTTTGTTATATCGGTTCTCTCTTCTAAATTTGACTTTTTTTGCAATATATAATTGTTTATATATATTTTTTGTGTGCATAAAACAGATATCGACATATCTACTCTTATTATATAGGTATTTACCTAAGGTTATTTTGACACTTTTTACATAGCCATTTCATTGCCAATCTCTGCTAAATATTGGAGTAAAATAGTGTTTTTTCTCTATATTGGCATATACACATAATAAGGTTTTTGTAATGTGTATTTAGTAAAGCTGGTGTGTGCTATTCCTGCACAGAACCCCATATTGTGTTCAGCTACATCTGCTGATTATAACAATACCCCAATTGTATGCATTCTGCACTATTCTGTGAAGCGACAATGCCACATAAGAGACAAGGCTATTTCAGTTTCTAAAGTTAGAATTTTCATAGATGGATATGATGGGCATATGTCTCATTTTGGGGTATTATTGTTGTTTGACTGTTCAACTAACCCCACAAAGGGCTTCCATTTGATAAAGCAGACACCCCAGGGTATCTTATATGGTGTATATTATGCCTTAACTTGTCCCAATTTTTTTTTTTTTTTAAACCAATTTATGTCAATGTTTGTGGTGAGGTGGGGGGTGGCAGTTTTACATACATGTTGCATTTTTGCAGAGTATTTCTTACACTTGTCATAAAATCCCCCAAATTATGCTCAGTTACATCTTCTGAATAAAACATTATGCCCAATGTATGACCTAGACACTATTTTCTGAAGTTACAGTTCTGTAAAAGAGACGTGACAAGTTCAGGTTTTTAAGTGTGAATTTTCATGGAGGGTTTTGATGCATCTGTGTCCCACTTTGGAGCACTTGAGAAGGCTACTGCTGGTCCGTCTCCCTGCACTTCAAACTAAACACGGAAGCACGAGTAGGCGGATCAGGAGTCCCTGCAGCACATGTGCTCGCTCTGACAGCCTGTCGAGGCAGACCAGAGGAGTGTTAACCCTGCAATTGCGACAATCTGGGGTTAACTTTCGTAAATTACTGAAATGCACGGAAATTTTCCATCATGCGTCCTTAACGGTAGGTCTGCCTTGATGGAAAATGTCAGTCAAGCGGTTAACATTGCAGCACTAAGTACAAAAGGGACAGTGCACCCAGGACAGTGAAGTGGTCTGGGTGCCTACAGTGTCACTTTAATGTGGCAGCTAGATAGCAAGAGCTGGCCAATCAACATAGAATTACCAATTTGCGCTGCCACATTTTTCTTTTTGTTTGATGACTTCTAGTGCTACCAGCAGGCAAATAGTTCAGACTTTTTTCTTCTCTAAATCCAGCATCGGATTTCCAGCATTTGGTCAGATTTCAGCTGTCCAGTGGTGTTCGGTGAGCCTGAAATTCAGACCAAATTTCAGCTATTATGACCTAAATTTTAAATTAATTTTGAATTCTTACTTTAGTAAATATCCTGAATATGGATCGACCGATATTTATTTTTTTAGAGCCGATACCGATAATATGTGAATTTTTAGGCTGATAATTTACCGATATTCTGTACATTTCCCATTTTTAAAAAATAAACTATTTCTACACAAACCTACTGTTAACTGAACATTTTTATTAATTTCTTTTTTTGCAATTTTTTTTATTAAGGTAAATGCAGAATTTATGTTTTCAAGAATATGTGTGTGTGCAGTGGATGCAGTGAGAGTATTTGATTAGTGAATTTAGTGTGTGTGTGTGTGTGTATTGGTGTAGGGGATGCAGTAAGTTTGTGTAGTGGATGCAGAGTGTGTGTTTGTGTAGTGTGTATAGTGAATGGAGTGTGTTTGTGTAGTGTGTATATAATGAATGCAGAGTGTGTGTGTGTGTGTGTCATGTGTATATAGTGAATGCAGTGTTTGTGAAGTGTGTACAAAATGAATGCAGAGCGTGTGTGTTTGTGTAGTGTGTATAGTGAATGCAGTGTGTTTGTGTAGTGTGTGTATAATGAATGCAGTGTATTTGTGTAGTGTGTGTGTATAGTGAATGCAGTGTTTGTGTAGTGTGTGTATAGTGAATGCAGTGTTTGTGTAGTGTGTGTATAGTGAATGCAATGTGTTTGTGTAGTGTGTGTGTACAGTGAATGCAGTGTGTTTGTGTAGTGTGTGTGTATAGTGAATGCAGTGTGTTTGTGTAGTGTGTGTGTATAGTGAATGCAGAGTGTGTGTTTGTGCCTTGAGTGTATATAATGAATGCAGTGTGTTTGTGTAGTATGTGTATATAATGAATAGAGTGTGTGTGTTTGTGTAGGTATGTTAAGTGTGTAAAATGGGGGGATGGGGCATTTTTATATTTTTTAACTATAAAAAAAATAAAAATGTTTAATTATGTTTTAGTCCCCCCTCCCTGCTTCTTACCTAGCCTGGGAGGGGGGGATATGGCATTCCCTGGTGGTCCGGTGGCATGGACTGTTCAGAGGGGGCCCAGCACACTCTTACCTTCCCAGCAGCTCCCTTAAGTTCCCCTGTCTAACTCTTGCGGCCCGTGTGCCGCGTTGCCATGGCCGCGGGACTCGCAAGATTTAGGCCCCCCAGGACCCTGATGGCAGCCCTGGTCTGCATTATTGGCCGATACTGATATTGCTGAAAATACAGAATATCGGCCAGACCGATAATCGGTCGATCCCTAATCCTCACACACACACTTTAAAATGAGCTATATCACAACTTATTGAGAAGACTTTGCAAGGCAGGTGCTCTAGGCAATTACCTGCCCTCCACATAGCTTAACTACCAGCAAGTGACAGGACTGGCTGACAGCCAGAGGATGTAAAATGGTTCAAATAGAAAAGTGCCATTTATTTTTAAAATAAAAAAGGCACTTCAGCAAACTTAGGCCTGGGGCAGCGTTTCTCAATTGGTGTTCTACAAACAAAATGGCCGCAGGCGACAAGGGAGCAGTGGGCGTGATCTCCCTATGTGTGCGTGCCTGTCAGTGAGAGCGTACGCGTACCTGAGTGTGTCAAGGTTTGTATCTGTGTGCCAGTGTATATCAGTGTGTTTGTATGTCAGAGTGTGTGTGTGTGTGTGTGTGTGTGTATCTGAGTGTGTCACTGTGTGTATGTTTCAATGTGTGTGTGTATCTGAGTGTGTGTATGTCACTGTGTGCATCTGAGTGTGTGTGTGTGTGTATCTGTGTGTCAGATACACACACAGATACGCACACCTTGACACAGCAACACATACAGAAAACTGCACCTTTTCTGGGTGGGAGGAGGGTTGGAGGTTCCACGATGTTGATACACTATGTCAAAGGGTTCTACAGGAAAAATTAATTGGGAACCCCTGGCCTACGGTAAAAAAAAACAAAAAAAAAAAAAACACAAGCGTAGCTGAAGTTAAATTCCTACTATTCTTACAATTTCAGCATGCAAAGGTTGGCAAAACAAGGTTATCTACTTACATTTTATTTTACATTACATGGATATTATGACTCTTCCCGTTGTGAGATCAAGGATGTGCGAGGGGAAGCTATTCTTCTTGCCCACATGCCAAACAAGGCCCTATTACTTTCAAGCAGGCTCTAGAATTACTTTATTAATACATAAATAAAAGGTAAAGATATAAAAGGCATAGATGCCACAGAGAACCTCCATAATAACACAGCATAGGCACTATTGATAGCGTAAGTGGAAAGGACATCTGTTCTCTCATAAGACTGCAGTTCGCCTTTGGCCAACCCTAATTACCGCTAGTCTTCGCCTTTGCTGACTGAAAAAGAAGCACCCTGCCTTGATAATCAAAATGGAGAGAATAACAGTAGCATCAGCTCTGAAAACTTCAGACAAACGCATTAAATATTAATGGGGTTCTTAAAAACACTCAGCTATATCATTTAAAGATTAATATCTAGTGTTCGGTTGTAAAACAAGGAACATTAATCTTGTGGAATTACAGACGACTCTAAAAGGAAAAAAAAAAATGCAGAAAAATGCATTTATGGCCATCTTTGTAATGCTGTACATAATTTAGTGGCTATAAAGGGTAAATATTCAGGATCTGATAAGAAGGTAGGTAAACGCACAGCCAGTCTTCTCTTAGTATACAGAGGTTATTTGAGTGTGCTTGGTCTGGTATTTCAGGATTTCATTAAAATATGGATATTATTTTGATTAAAGGAACACTATAGTGTTAAGAATACAAAACTGTACAGGTGGTCCTTGTTTTGCAATGGCTCACACGTACGACCAGCTCTCTCGCAGGGTGGTAAGTGCGAGCCGTCGTGGGAACTAGAGGGATTCCCTGCTCTACTGCGTTCTATGTTCGGGGAAATTTCCCCGAACATAGACAAGTGCACCAGAGCAGGGAATCCCTTAACTCTTCATTTGCCGACCAATTCATGCTACGACCGGGTCGTAGGAACGGAACCCGGTCGGTAAGTGAGGAGTGTCTGTATTCCTAACACTATACTGTCCCTCCACTTGACAAATCTTAAAGGACCACTATAGTGCCAGGAAAACATACCCTCAGGGACCCCCTCCCGCCCAGCTCTGGAAAGGGGAAAGGGGTTAAAACTTACCTTTTTCCAGCGCTGGGCGGGGAGCTCTCCTTCGATCCTCCTCTTCTCCTCCCCGTCGGTTGAATGCGCACGCACGGCAAGAGCTGCGCGCGCATTCAGCCGGTCACATAGGAAAGCATTCATAATGCTTTCCTATGGACGCTGGCGTGCTCTCACTTATTGACAGCCGCTAGAGGAAATAGGGGAAGGCTTAACCCTTCATAAACATAGCAGTTTCTATGAAACTGCTATGTTTATGAAAAAATGGGTTAACCCTAGCTGGACCTGGCACCCAGACCACTTCATTAAGCTGAAGTGGTCTGGGTGCCTAGAGTGGTCCTTTAACAAAAGTTGGAGCTTAAGGGAACACTAAAGTGTCAGGAATACAAATCTGTAATCTTAACGCTATTGTGCCCTAGTCCCTAATATTATGTATTTTTATGTGTTTTAATATTTTATGTCATTTATGCCTAGTCATGCTGACACTGGTATTTGGGGACATTTTGTGGAAGTGTTCTGGGCGTGTTTTACTGCATCCCTGTTTTGTATACAAGTAGGCCATTTAGTCATGATTAAATACATTTGTTTCTACCCGTCATCAAGTCAAGACTGATGTTTGAGTAATTGGGAGCTATAATCACTATTGAGCTTGGGACTTGGGAGATTTAGAACGGATATACTCAGACAGAGTATAGGGGATCCGTTACACAGGTGGCAGAAGTGGGATTCTTCTCCCGAACTGAAAGAAAAAGTGAATGGCTCAACAAAACTAACGGCTCAAACGAACAACTTTAAAGGAATTAGAGGACGCTTGAGGCATAGTGGCAATTAGCCGGAGTATAGGAGATCCGTTACAAGCACTTTGAAGGTTCTGTTATGTTGCTCTTATAGTTGTATTGTTTTACAATAAAAAGTGTGCAGTGCCTATAGAACGCTTTCCTTAGTTATATATGTACTATGCTGTAGAATTCTACATAATAAAAGCTAAATAAAATGTAAAAATAAATACATTCAAAAACACAACCTAGAGGCTTCATAGATATAGTGTGACAAACTTTGGGCAAGCTAAAAATATAATAAAATCAGATCTACTGTAAATTGTTGGCTAGCCTAGTTTTATATACATTACTAATCAAAGGTTTTAGCTAGCCTTAATTTTCCCAGTTTTTATTGAAACCGGAGCAGTTAAAGTACAGTAAATAACATGGAATGTTACATAAGTAAGCAGTACAGTGCCATAGTTTAAAGAAACAAGTTAAGGTTATCAAATTCTTTCAGCCCATGAATAGTCGGCAGGATCAACATCCTGCCGGCATAGAAGATTTGGCGCTTAGTGGGACTCCATTACTGGGAAAGGATGCCAGGGCACACTTTGCATCATTACCACTACACAGGAAGTAACTGGGACTCAGCAGCTGTCGCGATGGGTGGCTCACAGAACAGCTTCAAGCACAGCTTAACAATAATCAAAGAAATAATCACTTTAATTTATGAAGAAAAGAAATCAAGTTGCATGTTTACAGATCAGATAAAAGTGTGAAAACAATGCAACTCACAAACACATTTGAAACAATATTGTGAATAAACTTTCCATACAATATTTCATTTCTATTTTAGAAAGAATGTAATTTGCTTGGCTGTTACATCTGCCAAAGGTGGCTACTTTGAGGAGTAAAAAATTTAGATCACATTTCGTTAAACAAAAAAAATCTCAATTCCATGATTTTCTTTTTTAAAGGAACACTCCAAATAACAACCACTAAAGCGCACGGTAGTGGTTTTGGTGTCAGGGGTTTCGTAGCACTGTCTCAGTGTAAGTAATCAAACTGTCTGAATAGTTTGACAACATACCTGAGATCCAGTCGTCTTCTACAGCTATGGTGTTTGGAGTGTTCTTATAAGCCTGCTGGTTTGTTTATGTTTTAAAGGACCACTATAGTGCCAGGAAAAAATACTAGTTTTCCTGGCACTATAGTGCCCTGAGGGTGCCCCCACCCGGCTCTGGAAGGGGGAAAGGGGTTAAAACTTACCTTTTTCCAGCACTGGGCGGGGAGCTCTCCTCCTCCGATCCTCCTCCGTTCCTCCTCCTGGGCTGAATGCGCACGCGCGGCAAGAGCTGCGCGCGCATTCAGCCGGTCACATAGGAAAGCATTATCAATGCTTTCCTATGGACGCTGGCGTGCTCTCACTGTGAAAATCACAGTGAGAAGCACGCAAGCGCCTCTAGCGACTGTCAATGAGACAGCCGCTAGAGGAAATAGGGGAAGGCTTAACCCATTCATAAACATAGCAGTTTCTCTGAAACTGCTATGTTTATGAAAAAATGGGTTAACCCTAGCTGGACCAGGCACCCAGACCACCTCATTAAGCTGAAGTGGTCTGGGTGCCTAGAGTGGTCCTTTAATGTCAAATCACATGGACACTGAATTGTGTAGATTTCGATGTAAACGGGCATAAAAAGTGTTTTAAAAGTGATTTTGTGACTGGCAGCAGCTATAAAAATGCACTCTTTAGCTAGGTCATGCAATGTAAAATATTTAACCCTGGTGTGAGACCAGGATCTCCTGTACTATAGAACATAATTTTTGGCCAAAGGGACAGAAACAATGGACCTTTCTAGTCAGAAGGATGCATTAACAAAATTTAATATCAGATCACATATGGCCGTTGCAAATTAATTATCCCAAACACTCCATTGTTGTTAACAACAACATGTAGTCTGCCGAGAATATACTTTGCACACACACACAAACATTGTTGCTAATACAATTTCTTTTAAAATAAACAAAATTTCCTTTAAAAAAAAAAAAAAAAGTCATCTAATCAGAAATTACTTTGGTTGCCTTACAGCAATGTTAGCCACAAATATTTAAATATCCTGTGTGATTTCAAGTAAGTGAATGCCAAATAGTTCCAACTCTCGGCATGCCAATGTAATTTCAGATCCATATTCAACAGCACTGACCAAATTAACAACATGAACAGGAGCTGATCATTTACTAATATTACCCATTATGGAAAAAAACGGAACAAACAAGTATGGGGTTTAATCATAGGCAGCATTCATAGCAAGCTGCTTTTTATAGTGTTTATTGGCCTAGATATTTTAATAAGAGATACAACAATTACGTCTACAAAATAATCTCTTGATTCAAGAAATGACTAAAAACAGCATGGGTTATAAAAGCAAATGATAATAAAAGACAAATATAAAACTACTAAAAGGTCACCAAAAACAAAATGAGTGCCATTCTAAGCACCACAACCACTACAGCACAGCGAGGTAATGGTCAGCTTTACTGGCAATAGCACTTTTCTACCCCTCATATTGAAATAGTGAGACTATTATCTTTTGATTAAATTGTCAAAATGAGGTAAAGGTAAATCCCTATTTTTTATTATACAGTGGAACCTCTGAACGCTCCCTTACGCAAACAATTCGTTATTCAAACAAAAAATTTGAGAAAAATGTGTCTCGGTACCTGAACAAAACTCTGTATTAGAACAAAATCACACAGCATGTATCGCGTTGGTACCTCGTCGGTATGAGGCATCGGCCTCCTAGCACTAGACAAAGCGAACGGAACGCCATTCTGTCAGAAAACGGCTCCATTCGGTCAACAAACAGAGCAGACAGGTAAAGTTAAGTTAAATTTTAATTTCATTTACATTGTGTTTATTGGTTGTCTGTATGATCTTATGCATGTAAGGTATTAAACTGTAAAATTTGTGTAAAAATGCTGTAATTTTGTCGGTCTGGAACAAATTAATCTAATTTACATTCATTCTTATGGAAAATTTTGATTTGGTTTTCAAACAGCCTTTTGAGAACAGATTAGGTTTGAGTTCCAAGGTTCCACTGTGTATCAATCGGTTGGAGAGAGTCACTTCCATCTCCAGGTTAACGCCACTAAGCTAATAAAAGTGAGGCGCACATGCCTTCTCCAATTCAGATCTCAGCTCACCCAACTCCTCCACATACCCCAGACCAGATGTGCGAGTGCGCATGAGCATCATTATCACATATGGTAGTTGCAAATTAAGTATCCCAAACACTCCATTTGCTTACAATAACAACAACAACATGTAGTCCACCAAGAATATACATTTTAAAACTTTGCACACACAAAAACATTGTTGCTAATACAATTCTTTTCAAAATAAATAAAATTCCCATTTAATCTGTGCGCACAGATTCAGAGGCTTCTCACTGAAAAGATTGACTGGCTATTTCCCAGTGAAGAGACTAAAAGTGTCTTCCAGGGGAAAAGGGGGTGCTTGCAAACGTTTGAGTCATTAGAACTGCAGCTTTTGCAAGCTCTTTTACAATATACCCCCAAAACCTGCATGCATAATAAATGTAATCATTGGGGGTATATCTACAAATTTTATTTTCCCAGTGTGAAAGTGTCCTTTAATGTTTAGAAATAGGACCATCACAAAACGTTCCCCTATAGCTCTTGGTAGCAGCAGGGTCTCTCCTATCTACACCATCTATACAACAAACACAGCCTCCGCCACTTCCCAGAGTTCAAAGCAGAATACTCACTCCCAACCAGACTCACATTCTCATACCTACAACTAAAAGCGCTCATAGTTACAAACGACTTGCAGTCCACAACACCAAACACAACCACAGCACTAACCACTTTTAAACAGATGTGCGTTCAGTCACACCGGACACAAAAAACATTAACATGTTAAACAAATCAAGTCAGGAGAATACAACATGGAAGTTCGTGACTGCTTGGCAGGAAGATATCGAACACACACTAACAGATAAAGAATGGGGAAAAATATTTAAGGCACATACAGGTTTAGCATTGTGTGCGTCACACCTGGAGACATCCCGTAAACTATTGTACCACTGGTACATGGTCCCCACACGTCTACACAAAATCTATCCTGCAGTGAACGATCCCTGCTGTAGGTGTCAAGTACAAAGGGGAATAATGCTCCATATTTCTTGGGCCTGTAGTAGAGTACAAATGCTGTGGACTGAAATAGCAGAGTTAATTAAAGAAGCAACAGGATACGCTCTATACCATACACCGGAAGCATTCCTACTCAAACTATTCCCTGAAGGCATGCCCAGGACCACATTAAAACTAATATATATCATACTGAATACAGTGCCCACACTCATAGCTAAATATTGGAAAACCCCATCCTTGCCCACCTCCAAAGAAATAATAACCTTGGTGACAACCACACTGGACTATGAAGTGCTGATGTGGAACCAGGCAAAAATAGGAAAGATGAGCCATACAGAACATGGAATTTGGAAAGAATTCCAGCAAACCCTCAATACCACACAACGGGAGTAAGAGGGAAAAAAATAAACACTTTTTTTTTTTTAAATGCTGCAGTCTCCCGGTTCCTACCTCGCGACTCACCTCAAAGCACCCCCGTTATGTTTCAGGTGCATCTCCCCCTTCACTAACTCCCCAACAATGCCCAAGACTTGCCAAATGGAGCAGCAGAAATCTCGACCTGCACCCAAATACAACTTTTCTGGGGCACTACACTCAACACCGAGTTGAATGAGGATATGACCTCCACCGCATCAACTAACACTCCCTCCTACCCTAAAGACTAAGGGGACTAGTGGTTCCACATGGAACCACTTGCCCCCTTCTCCAAGCACACACACCCAATAATACAGCAGGGCCGAGCCCCAAACAAACAGCTAGTCTACCTCACACCGCCCATGAGTGGCCCCACCTACATGCACCCAGGAGCTCAAACTTGTATATGGACGTTAGAGGGAAATAGCACAACAAAACTTTGTCATTGCTGTAACCTCACACTCAGATACGGTCTGTCTCAATACACTTTCTACTGGGTTGCAAGATCACGAAACATGCTGTGGGAGGTAGCTCAAGGTACTATGTATCAAGAATGACACACAAAAAAAAACAACTAGGTATGTACCTTACTCCACCTCCTTCTGTACTCCGTGTTCTTGAAAATCAACAAAATAAAAAAATGTCACATTGAAGAAAAAAATATTGGAATCCAAACTTAAATATTGCAGTTTATTGATAAGCCTTCTATGTGCAACAGTGTCAAAAGCCTTACTGAAATCTAGGTAAGCAATGTCTACTGCACCACCCTGATCTATTATTTTAGTTACCCAATCAAAAAATCAATAAGATTAGTTTGGCATGATCTCCCTGAAGTAAACCCATGTTGTCTCTGATCTTGAAATCCATGTGTTTTTAGATGTTCATCAATCCTATCCTTTCACATGGTTTCCATCACTTTCCCCACTACTGAAATAAGGCTTACTGGCCTATAGATGCCCGACTCCTCCCTATTACCTTTCTTGTAAATGGGCACAACATTCGCTAACTTCCAATCTTCTAGGACTACTCCTTTTAACAATGATTGGTTAAATAAATCTGTTAATGGTTCTGCTAGTACACCACTAAGCTCTTTTAATAGCTTTGGGTGTATTCCATCAGGTCACATTGACTTATTTGTCTTTACTTTTGACAGTTGAAATAGAACCTCTTCCTCTGTAAACTCACGTATAATAAATTACTCATTTATCCTTTTTCTCAACTGAGGTCCCTTTCCTTCATTTTCATCTGTAAATACAGAACAAAAATATTCATTGAGGCAGTCAGCTAGACATTTATCCTCTTCTACATACCTTCCTTCTTTTGTTTTTAATCTAACTAATCCTTGTTTTACTTTTCTTTTCTCATTTATGTATCTAAAAAATGTTTTATCCCCCTTTTTTACTGACTGTGCTATTTTCTCTTCTGTGTGTGATTTGGAAGCTCTTATAACTTGCTTAGACTCTTTCTGCCTAATCTTATAGATCAATTTGTCTTGCTCACTCTGGGTTTTGTTATAATTCCTAAATGCTAACTTTTTGTTTTTAACTATTTTGGCCACATCTATGGAGTACCACAGTGGTTTCTTGAATTTTTTGCTTTTACTGACAAGCCTAATGCAATTTTCTGTTGCCTTCAATAGTGCAACTTTTAAATAATCCCATTTCTCTTGGACTCCATTTAAATTGCTCCAGTCTAATAATGACTTCTCTACCCATATTCTAATTTTAGAAAAGTCTGTTTTTCTAAAGTCTAAAACTTTTGTTTTTGTGTGGTGTGACTCTTATATTAAACCACACTGACTGATGATCACTGGATCCTAAAATTTCACCTACAGTAATATCTGATACCAAATTTCCATTTGTTAACACTAAATCTAGTATGGCCTCTTTACGAGTTGGCTCCTCAACAACTTGTTTTAGAGACAATCCCAGTAGGGAGTTTAGAATATGTGTGCTCCTGGCACAAGTAGCTAATTTTGTTTTCCAATTTACATCAGGAAGATTAAAGTCACCCATGATGATAACTTCCCCCTTCATTGTCATTTTAGCTATTTCCTCAACTAGTAGATTATCTAACTCTTCAATTTGTCCTGGGGGCCTATAAATCACACCTACACGAGTTACTGTGTGATTACCAAATTCTAATGTAACCCAAACGGACTCTATATTTGCCTCACTAACTTTTATTAGGCTAGATTTTATGCTATCCTTCACATACAAGGCCACCCCTTCCCCTTTCTTGCCTTCCCTATCTTTCCTATATAAAGAGTACCCTGGTATTGCTATGTCCCAGTCATTTTTCTCATTGTACCATGTCTCAGTAACAGCGACTAAATCTACACTATCAGTTGCCATTATTGCCACAAGTTCATGAATCTTATTCCCTAAACTGCGAGCATTTGTAGACATGACTCTAAGCTTATCATTTTTAACACACTTGCTACAGGCACCTTCTGTCCTTGTTTTGGGGGACAATTGGATTGATGTTTTATCACCCTTTTGCCCCCCCCTCCTAGTTTAAATACATCCTAGCAAAACCTCTGAACTGCTCACTGAGAACATTTGTTCCCTTTTGAGAAAGATGCAAACCATCTTTTTTGTACAGCTTATCTCCATTCCAAACAGAGCTACCATGAGAAATAAAGTCAAATCCTTGCTCCCGACACCATTCACCAAGCCACAAATTAAAGTCCCTAATACGCATCCGCCTGTCGTTCTGAGTGTTATGCACAGGCAGAACTTCAGAGAATGACAGTGTGGAAGCAACCTGCCGTATATCATTGGCAAAAACACTAAAAACTTCCTTAACCTCAAACCTCATACCTCATTGCAAGCCAAGTCATTTGTCCCTAGATGAACAAGTACATCCAATTCCCCTTCCTGCTTTGCTTGCTTAACAATATTACAGATACGTCTCCTGTCTCTGTGAGCAGTAGCTCCGGGAAGACACCTCACAAGACCACCATTGTCCATCTCCACACCTCTTATAATGGAATCCCCCAACAACAACTGTTTTCTGTTAGGCCTCACCATAGCCTCAGTGCCTCTCTCCACAACACCACTAGCCTCAGTGCCTCTCTCCACAACACCACTAGCCTCAGTGCCTCTCTCCACAACACCACTAGCCTCAGTGCCTCTCTCCACAACACCACTAGCCTCAGTGCCTCTCTCCACAACACCACTTGCCTCAGTGCCTCTCTCCACAACACCACTTGCCTCAGTGCCTCTCTCCACAACACCACTTGCCTCAGTGCCTCTCTCCACAACACCACTTGCCTCATTACACTCACTCTGAAAGTGCAGAAAATGAATTATGAAGAGCAACAGACTGTGCAATATGCCTTTTATCCACAACTCTAAGTCTACCAGATCCTACAGTAATCCAGAGGTTAGAAGTCAAAGTTTTCAAAAACAGTCAGACTACTTCCAAGGAGGTGGCACAAGGACACTCCTGGCAATATGCCGTACAGTACGGAGTTTGTAGTGTTCCTGTAATATGTAGTTTGGCAACCTCTCCATGGCAGACAAGTGTTTAGTTTTTTTTTAATACACATCATTAGTCCTCACAATGTCAATACAAATAATAAAATAATGCAGTCTTTACTGTATTACTTTGATGTCTAGTGAACAACTAGCTCAATATACTAGGAGAGCATCAACAAAAGAAAAAAATAAATTACACTGCACTTTTCCAGTAGAAGAGAAAAACTTGACAAAAGGCTGTTTTAATAGCTACTACAATCTTGTATTTATATTTGGCACTAATTGGATCTAGAATACGAACACTGTGATTGTCTAAATCAGACTAACTGCCATTACGTCACCACTGAGCACTGTAAGAATTGGAAACATATGTTACTCACAATGCATGCTGTCAGTAAATAGTACAGGTGCGAAAAAAGTGTACGGGGTGAGTTTGTCAACAACAGGGATGTGGTACCCAAACAAGAGATTTAATTATATTTTCTAGCACTGTTTTTACATCATCTGCCGGGATTTGGGAGCGCCAAGGGCTGGCTGAGGGTGCCGGGATCTGGGAGGGCCAGTGGCTGAGGGTGCCGGGATCTGGGAGGGCCAGTGGCTGAGGGTGCCGGGATCTGGGAGGGCCAGTGGTGGGGGTGAGGTCTGGGAGGGCTGGCTGGGGGTGCCGGGGTCTGGGAGGGCTGGGAGGGCCGGCTGGCTGAGGGTGCCGGGGTCTGGCTGAGGGTGCCGGGGTCTGGGCTGAGGGTGCCGGGATCTGGGAGGGCCAGCGGCTGAGGGTGCCGGGATCTGGGAGGGCCAGTGGCTGGGGGTGCCGGGATCTGGGAGGGCCAGCGGCTGAGGGTGCCGGGATCTGGGAGGAGCCAGTGGCTGAGGGTGCCGGGATCTGGGAAGGCCAGTGGCTACATTGCCCGGCGGTTCGGAGGGCCAGTGGTTGAGAGTGCCAGGATCTGGGAGGGCCAGTGGCTGAGGGTGCCGGGATCTGGGAGGGCCAGTGGCTGGCCAGGATCTGGGAGGGCCAGTGGCTGAGGGTGCCAGGATCTGGGAGGGCCAGTGGCTGAGGGTGCCGGGATCTGGGAAGGCCAGTGGCTGGGGGTGCCGGGATCTGGGAGGGCCAGGGGCTGGCTGGGGGTGCCGGGATCTGGGAGGGCCAGCGGCTGAGGGTGCCGGGATCTGGGAGGGCCAGTGGCTGAGGGTGCCGGGATCTGGGAGGGCCAGTGGCTGAGGGTGCCGGGATCTGGGAGGGCCAGTGGTTGAGGGTGCCGGGATTTGGTTGTGATCAGATACCTTCCATGCCAGGAGCAGCACGTTCATGATGGCCAGCAATGGGCAGGGCCCGTTCTCGTTCTGGGTGACTATGGGCGTGCTCTGCTCCTTCCAGCGGATCCATTTGATGTGATAGACGGACTGTCCGGGGAATCTCTCCCTGGCCGCCAGCCCGCCCTCCTCCTCCTCCTCCTCGGCCGCCGCCAGGCCCGGGAGCCTGTCCTCCGGCCCCTCGCTGTTCAGGTCCGAGCTGGGGCAGGAGAGCAGGTTGGAGAAGGACTCCAGCGAGTCCAGGCTGTGCGGCCCCCCGGCCGGGCTCTGCCCGCTGCTGCTGCTGGGCTCCTCGGGGGTGACGGAGCAGGGAGCCGGGCTGCTCGGTCCGCCCTCCATCCCCTCCTCCGCCCCCGGGAGGCTGGCACTGTCCCCGCACACAGGCTGCGGCTCGGCGGCTCCGGGTACCGGGCAGGCACCCTCCATGACACCGGGGACACTCGGCGCTATTCACCGGCACCGCAGCGGCTCCTCAGCTGTCAGCCCAGCCGCCATGACAGCCCCGCCCACTGACGTCATGCGCCAGCTGTGCGTCTCGCTCTCTCTCTCTGTACCGGATGTCAACCCAGAGCTAGGCGTCACCAGGAGACAGGACCAGCTTTGTTCACACTGACCAGTTGTCAATAAAGTTGTATCAAACTGGTGCTACACATTGTGTTAGTTCTAAAGCCACTGCTGTAATGGAATGATTTGATGAAATCATTTTATTACAAAGTATTTCTCACAGTGGCAGGAAAATCAAGTAATTTTTTTTCAGTTTTTTTATTTCAATTTTTTTTAATTTCATGTTTTATAATGCTGTAATTTCATAGAAGATATTTATTTAATGATGCTGTGTGATTCTTTAATGATGATTAAAATGTTACAAACAAAAGCGAGGTAGACCTCATTTATCTATAACTGGGGTGTAAGCAATGTGGGTATTTTATGGATATAGTTTCAGAGTGAGTGTGTCTGTTTCTTCTACAGTGTCTTCATTCAAACACCTCTCTAGTGCCCCTATTTAGGAGAGAGACTGTCCATATTTTGGGCCCCAAACCCTCTGTCCCTCTTTTCTATCCCAAAGTCCCTCTTTTCTAGGATCTCCATATTGTTGGTGTGTCTGATGTGTGTATAACTGAGTTCCACAGCAATAATGTTCAAATTAATGTATCTATAAAGGGATACTAGAGTTACCAAAACAACTTTAGCTCAGCAAAGCAGTTTTGGTGTATAGGTAATTTCCCTGCAGTCTCACTGCTCAATTCCCTGCCATTTAGGAGTTAAAATCACTTTGTTTATGCAGTCCTAGTAACACCTCCGTGCATGTTACTTACACAGCCTTCCTAAACACGCTCTGTTAGTGAGATCTAATGTCTACACTAACTTTATTGTACAGTCTGTTTAATCTGGGATTTATTATCTCATACCCCTGCCAGAGCCTCCTGTGTGTGATTAAAGTTCAATTTACAGAGCAGGAGATAAAAATTTCTAATGCAAGTTAACATCTGATTGAAAAATGTTTTAGGATAACTATTACCCAGCACGCAGAATCTACGTTATGTAAGCTATTAACTAAACTTAGAGCAGCCAAGCTTAATGCAAAGATAGAGTAGTACAGAACATGGTCAGGGAGATAGAAAATAGCATAGATGATAGGGCAGGCCAAAAGTCAGGGACAACAGAATTAAGAATAGTCAAATAACAACCAGAGGTCAGAAACGGCTAGGAGTATAACAAGGAAAAAAGCAGTCTCAGATAACCTCTAAAAGGAAACCATGACAGGGCACAGTACAACAGCTAATGAGGTTATATACAGTTTAAGTGAGCAGATATTGGTTGATTTGAACACTATGAAGTCGTGACGCTCACACGTCCTTGTCATCAATGGCCTGAGGAGGTGAAGCCATAAGGAGGCTTCGATATACAGCTGCTGGTGTCAGACAGGATGCATGAAGGAGAAGCACTTGCACGGAAGAAGGATGCCAACTATTTGATTTAAGTACACTCTAGTCACCAGAACAACTACAGCTTAATGTAGTGATTCTGGTGTCTAAAACCTGTCCCTGCAGGCACTTGCATGTAAACACTGCCTTTTTAGAGTGGCAGTAATTCAGACTGGCCAATAGAGGTGCTTCCTGGGTCAGTGCTGCACATTACGTTCAGCATCTCCACATGCTGCATGGATGCACTGAACTGTCCCTATATATATGCATAGATTCCACCAGGGACAACAAATGAGACTATATAGGAATTGCACTGGGAAAAACGATTTTAATCATCAGGTTGAGACCTTAAATAGAAATTTTAAAAATAGGCATTATCCTATGGACCTTGTACAAAGATCCCAAAAAACAAGTGGAAAAGTGAAAGACCCTTTTAAAAGAAAAGAAAAGGAATCAGGGAATAAAGATTTTAATACAGCTTTTAGAACAAAATAGAACAAGACAATTTTTAAAAAAATTGTTTTTTAAGAGGAAAACCAAAAGGTTTTTACAAGTGTGGCAGGTGCAGCACTTGTAAATTCAAATCATATAAAACATTAGATTTTAAAAGTAATATCACAGGGGAATCTTTTAAAATAAAATTTTTTATAAACTGTCAAAGTAAATATGTAGTCTATTTTCTACAGTGTAAATGCGGCATACAATATATAGGACGCACTATACGCAAATTACACATACGGCTATTGGAACATTTTAGTGGAATTAGAAAGAAAAATATAAAACATAGTGTACCAAGACACTGTAACAGCTGTAAAGAATTTAAATTTGAAAACTTCAGCTGTATTGGTATAGATCTGGTTAGCCCCCACTGGAGAGGAGGCAATATTGAAAGACGTTTGGCCATGAAAGAAACGGAATGGATTTATAAACTAAAAACCTCTGTTCCTGATGGTCTAAACACAGACTTAGATATTTTGTTATTTATGGACTAATTCCACTAATATGTAATCTCTGTTATTTTCACGTTTTTATTATGCACATCTTTTATGATGCACTGTGTTTTGACACTTTTTATTCACTGTATTTATTGAATGCTGTTTTAATTTGACTAAAACTTGCGTGATTTAATTATATGCTGCTAATCTTTTTTCCCTTTTGCTTCCTTTTTAAAAAATGTTTGTTAGAGGATGTTTTTGAAAAATGTTTTCTCACCAAAAATGCTTTTTTATTATAAATGCCTTTTAAAAAATAATTTTTTCTCTATATATGCTTTTCTATACATGCCTGTTTAAAATGTTGTCTCGCTATATATGTCTTTTAATTATGCTGTTCTTGATATATATGCTTCAAGAAAATATATGAACTTGTCACTTTGCAACTCATTGAGCTGTTTTTTATATATGAATATGTATTTGTATTTTTATCACCCCCATATTGTTTTTTAGCGATCTATGTATCTATGCTTTTAATGTAAGATCCTTTCTGTACAAGTATACGGCAGTATGTTGGATCCACATGTTAATATACTACATGCATCCATTTCTATTTATTTTTCTCTCTTTTATATCTAAGTAAGAATACTGTTCTTGGTCTCTTTTTCATATACTTTTAATATGTTTACCCAATATACAATAGCATTGGGTCACATATCGCCTTTTTTGAATCAGAGTCCGGTTGTTGTCCCAGATGCTTATAGCAATAAAGTGTGCTTGCGTTCCAGGATGGAACACACATGTACGGCTGACGCCAACGGGTGTGATGTCATCACGTCGGCGCACCACCGTTCATGTGCAGACACACCAACGGGACGCCACCTGACATATTTAAATGCCGATTTTAGAAGACTGAACTAAGCTCCTGACGAAGTCTGAAGAGACTAAATGCGTTAAACAGAACCTTACCCCGAAAGGTGTTTCCAGTATCTGGTGGTGAATACTTTGGTCCCTTCTACCAACTTGCGAATTTGCACTGACCAGCACTACAGACTGATAGACCTGGGCATTCAGCCTATTTGAGGCACCAGCTCTTGTGCACATATTGAATGCTTTTCAATTGTGCCACACTGTTTGTGAGTGTCATATTTTATCTGTTTTATCAATTTTTGTAATTAAAAGTTTGCACTATGATGTTCTCTCTTTTTCCTCTCTTTCCATGTGAGTGTTTCATGCCCATCTACAGGAGGGTAATTATACTCACTACTAAGTTTGTGATAAGTGGCGCCCTATTTCTGTATTTTAACTCTGTTACTATACGGTTTCTTCTGTACACTGTTTTTTTTAAGGGATACAGGGAGTGTTTTCCCATTTATAGTGGCTTGCCTGCAAAACTCTTTATACCCAGTTATCTCAACATCCAAATTTGGTTCTATATGAGGAGATGCTGATTGGGCATCGTGGCGTTTGGCTCTGGCCCCAACTCTTTGGCTGAGATAATCAGAATTGAATTCCTATGGGAAAGCATTGGATTGGCTGATTTATCAATTTAGCCAAGGAGGCAGATCAGGGTGGGGCAAGCAATGGCGGATCCGTGCGGTGCTGGTAAAAAGTTACGTTTTTATCCTATTTAAAGGGAGTAAGAGGGGGCCAGCCACCTAAATAGTGTTTTTAACACTATAGGGTCAGGAATACACATTTGTATTCCAGACCCTATAGTGTTCCTTTAAGCTACAATTGTTTTGATGCGTATAACATCCCATTATTCTAGAATAAAAGTTTTCAGAAATCACTGAACGTGTGACAAAAACAAAAGTGTGACAAAAAAAAAGTCAGCAAACCAAATGTGTAAACAATAAGAGTTTAAAGACTGCTAGGATTGTACCACAGGTATAAACTCTATAAATGGAAACTCCACAAGCTACAAATGTCACACTAACACTATTCTTTTGTGGTCTTTTTATGTATATTTTTTTCTTAATAAAGTTTATTACCGTACATTGATCTCTACACAAGAGTTAATTCCTGTGGGGCTGGTTGGCCTCCCTAGTTTGAAGCTAACCACCTTCACTAGCCCTAAATAACATGTTAAGTATCCAACCATTTGACAGATTTCTGTCAGAGGGCTCCCGGGGACAATGCTGTAGTGGTTATGGTGCTAAAGGCAAGTACTACAATAACAGAGCAGTGCACTTTTACTCTGACTTTGAAAAGGAGTAGTCTCTAGAAGGAGCAATCATTCATGTCAAGTCAGAATGTTTTTGCAAGGTGCCATGCTTATGCAATGTAAGTAAATAAGTTCCAGGACTGATACCTTGTCATAGATTTACCAGGGTTGCAAAACTGTGATTTTGCAAAACCCAACACTATTTACAGTGGCTGAAGTTAAACTAGACTTAGATGTTGGCCACTGGAAGTGAGGAAACCTGCTGAATTTACATTTAGGGTGTTGACACCTAGTGATCACAAGTTTGTACAAATTGCAAAGGAATGCCTGACTAATAGATTTTGCTTGCCATTACGTCTATGACCATGACATGACATGATCGACAAATAACAGCTGTAGATTACTTCACCCACACACATAGTATAAACAAAAAAGAGAGAAAATAAGGGAGTTCTTCACAATTGTGTACAATGGCAACATAGTCTATCCACATGTGAATGGAATAACTGTTATTCTAAAAAAAAAAAAAATACAAAAAAAAATTATGCAATATGAAAATAATTATATACATACATGTTTATACCTA